TATTATATAAATTATTTACGTAATGTTAATATTTTAATTATTTTTGTAGTACGTCTTCATTGTGTTTAATGTGAAATATAATTGTTTTATGATATTTTTATGGGCAATAAATATATGGGGTATTAAATGAATATGTTATAGTGAAAATTATTGAGTAGCTTAAATCAAAATGGTATTGTACGCGCGGTTCTCCTCACAGTAAAGCTTCAGGGGTAGGTTAGTAAGTCACTTAATTTGCAATTCGTTGATGATCTCATTGTTGAGTTGCGTCCGGACCGCGCTAGCAGCCGGTCACGTCCGCCGATCGTCGGCTCTCGCCCGGGTGGAAGAAGTACTCAGCTTGCGTTGAGCCTCGAGGACGCTCCGGACCCCACCGCCGTAGTTTCGTGAGAGTTTGAGCCCCTTAAATCTGTCATGTATATCCCAGATGTCATGGACATACAGGTTGAAAATCACCGGTCCCAGGATCGATCCTTGAGGCACGCCATGGAGTATAGGTTTCTCCTCTGTTTCAGTTGTTCTAAACCTGCCTTTCAGTTGTCTGCCTGCAAGGTAGTTTTCTATAATTATTGTAATGTTAGTGAGTACGTCTTTGTCTTGTAGCTTTTTGATCAAGCCTTTGTGGTTAATCGAGTCAAAGGCTTTCGAGAGATCTGTTGATATCATGGAGATGCTGTCGCCGTTGGCCACGGCATCTGTGATTATTTTACCGGTGCGAAGGATCTGGGTCGCTGTGCCTCTGGCCCTTGTGAAGCCGCGTTGGAACAGTGGTTGCAGCCGGTCCACCGTGGCAGTGAGTCGTCTCAGGATCAGTCGCTCGCACAGTTTGCCCATTATGTTGAGCAGTGTAATCGGGCGGTACGATAGTGCCTGGTGATGATCTTTGCCAGCTTTGTGCAGGAAGATGCACACGCCGGTTTTCCATCTCTTAGAGAAGTCTTCACCGAGGCACAAATGCCTCGGTGAAGACTTCTCCCCCGAGTTTGAGGGCGTCTGCCTTGATTCCATCTGGCCCGGAGCCTTTTTGTTTTTGAACCTGCTCAGTGCTAATTTGACTTCGTGTTTTGATGTTGGGTCGAGTGGCTGGAACGGGGTCGTTTTCTCTGTGCCCTCGTCTTCCGTCGCAATTACTGCCTCTTTTACTATTGCTGCCTCAGACAGTGAGTCGATTGTCTCTTTTTCCGTTTTGCAGCCCGTTATGTTTGGTAGTTTCATGATTGATGATTGGCGCATCCAACGCAACGTGAAGAACATGTTGCGTTGGATGCGCCACATTTGCGACCTATTGTCATTCGGATCCTGGATCTTATCCAGCCAGCCCTTCTCGGTATATTCTCTCAGTACTTGGTCTGCTTCTTTTTTGGCTTTGTTGTAGAGGGCACATGCCTCTCGTTGTAGGTTGGGGCCTTGCCTGCCATTTAATTTGTTTCAGCTTGTTTCTAAAGTCTATCTTTTCATTTATTTCCGGTGGTAGATGTTCTCGTCTCGTTGTTGTTCTGAAAGGTGCGTGTTCGTCGAGGGCTGCTGTAATGGATTTCTCCATGGTTTCGACGTATCTTTCGCAGTCTTCCTCCGTGATTATTTCCCCGTGTAGGTAGCGGAAGCCTTCCCACATGGTTTGTTGGTATGCTTCCATCGCCCCCTCGTCCTCGCATATCCTCCTTGTGTTGCGAGATTTGTTTTCCTCTATGTTGTGTTCGATTTTTACGGTGAGTAGCCATGGTAGATGGTCTGATCCGACGCTTTCTAACTGCTTGGCTTGTGCCTCGATCTTTTGGTGTGTTATTACGACTATATCCAGGATTGCGTTGCCTTGATTGGCTGGCCTCGACGACGCGCCGGCGTTTTTTAGCGAGCAGATTCCGTCGTTTATTGCTTTCCTGATTACAATGCCTAGGCCTGCGTCTCTTCTTTGGTTCAGGGCGCTCATCTGTAGATTCATATCTCCTATTATGATCGTTGGTTCGTCTGCCAAGGTTTCTTCAAGCTCTTCTCTGGCTTGGTGTTGATTTGGGATTTGAAAGTAGGTCCCTTTTATTTTTATGTATTGTCCGGTCGCGTGGTCTGTCAACAGTTTGATGCCCACGCCTTAAATTTTTCTTCTCTCCTCTCCCCACTCCGGTGTGACCTCTGTTTCGGTTCATCTTAGCCTCCTTTGTATGTACATGGCCGTGGTTAAGTGGGTTTTAAGCGAGTCTGTGATTTTATCGTATCCTTTCATGTTAAACTTCTCCTTGTCGAAGTCGATTTTGCATTCGTTTGTCACTATTATGGCTGGCCTGTATTTTTCTGCAGCTTTTTTACTTCAATGAATTTATTTCTCAGTCCTTGTGCATTTAGGTGTAGGATTTTGAGGTTCTGTATTCTTTTTTGGTCGTGATTAGCCATTGGTCTGTCGTTGTGTTTTATTCATGGTTTCTATGAGCTTCATTGGTAGTTGTTCCGTTCGCTCCAATCTTAGGTGGAGACTTTCTATGGTTATTTCGTTCATCGGTGGTAACATTGCCTGCTCCCCTGTGATAGTGTCGGCTCCTTCTGTGGCAAGACGGGGAATTGTCTTTTGCTTGAGACGTCCGCATATCTGACTCCAGGTCTGACTGTCGCACGTCTGATTCTCTCTTCTTGTTTAGTCCGTTTGACTTTCGCTTGTTCCATTTGTTTGGATATCATTTTTTGAAATATCGGGCAGGTAGCTTTGTTCGCGCTGTGTCCTTCTTTCTTACAGTTTTTGCAGACCATCGTCGTAGTGCCCTCGGGTGTATTGATTTTGATCTCTGATTCTTCTTGTCTGCCGTAGCAAGACTGTTTCGAGTGATCAAATGCATAGCATTTCTTGCATTGCACTATGTGTCTCGGGTTTTCTCTGAATGGTTCTTTATGGAAGGGGCGCAAAAGAACTTTCTCAGCGGTTTTGAATGCTTCCAGGATGCTCTTTTGTTTATATTTATTTTCAAAAATCAAGAGGTGTATTTTACCTGCTTTTCCTAGCGGTTTTATTGATATCGGTTTAATGCCAATGCATTCCGCTATCTCTTCTGCGATTATGTCTTGACTTGAACTTGACTTGAACTCTCTGAACTTGAACTTGATTACGATAAGTAACGACACGTATTAATCTGCTCCTCAATTTTTTATTCAAAATCAGTGTAAGAATTAAAGATTTACCGTGATTCTATATACGTTTCGATAATATAAAGTGCAAGCTTTGTAATAACACCATTGGACAAGTGAAATTCCACCTAGATTGTGAGTAATAGAAATAAACATTTTAAAAATAATCGTTTGCTAACTGCCGTCCCTGACCTAGGGCAACTCGCAGCCGCCTCGCATCTACGCACACATACGCATCGCACAGTGTACGTGACGTACGGCACAGCGTTTTTATCGCTAACGCCTTATTCATCCGCAACTTTCAAGCGCATCTTGAAGCCTTGCTTACTATGGGTGGAAATAAATGCTCTGGATGCCGCCACAACATAACTACTAGAGAGTTTCTGGTGTGCTCCGCTTGCTTATCTAAATGTGACCTTTTATGTGCTAACGTTGGTTTAAAAAGATTTTATCTGATGAACCAAGAAACAACCAAAAACTGATAACACGAACTCACCGTTGCGCCAACCACTTCATTCCACTCAGCCGGGCCCCAGTAACGTCAGCGTACTTGAGGAAACATCATGTGAAGCCAGCAACGTTACAGTTGATGACCGTTATGTGACGGAGAATTCACTGCGGCGAATACTTAGTGAGGAATTGTCACTCATGATCGAAGGAAAAATAAAAAAATTGGTAACTGTACAACTTCAAACGATAAATGAGCGCGTAACGGAATTTAGTGAGTCCATTGCTTACTTTAAAAGGCAATATGAGGAAATGAGAGCTGAATTACAGGAAAAGTCGTCTATTATAACAGGGCAGCAAAAAGACAATGAAACGCTACAATCAAGTGTCAAAGCTCTGTCCCAAAGACTCAATCTGGCGGAGCAGAATATGAGAGAGTCGAATTTGGAAATAAATAGCGTACCAGAACATAAAACGGAAAATTTGTCAACCATTTTAACCCAAATAGCAAAAACCGTTGACTGCCATATTGGAGATGAAGATATTTATCATGTAACCCGAGTTGCTAAGCTAAACAAGGACAGTGACCGGCCTAGCATGGTTATTGCTAAGCTCCGCAGCCCTCGACATCGAGATGCCATGTTGGCTGCTGTTGCCAAATTTAACAAAAGTAACCCAAAGGAAAAACTGTCAACCCAACATCTTGGTATGGCGGATCCACCAAAGCCTGTGTTTGTCTCTGAGCACTTACCACCAGCTATCAAGTCCCTGCACGCAGCAGCTCCCATCAAGGCCGGGAAGAAAGATTACAAATTCGTATGGGTTCGTAATGACCGCGTCTTCTTACGCAGAAATGAGTACAGCGCAGCCATACTCATTCGAAATATTAAGTGTCTTGATTCGATAACCTCTTCTCAACATAAATCCTAATAACTCACGTATGAGGCACCTTTGGAATATACTATCAAAACGTGCGTGGTCCGAGAACGAAAACAACTGACGTATTAAAAAAAATTTTGGTAAATAATTACGACGTTATAGTGTTTACGGAGACTTGGTTAAATCTGGATGTTGCTAGCAGTGAAATTTTCGATTCTAGATATAAGGTTTATCGTAGGGACCGTGTATGTTCCAAATCCACTAAAATGGACGGTGGAGGAGTATTAATAGCTGTATTGCAAAACATTCCATCCGCTCATGTTGAGCGATGGGAAAGTAACTGTGTAGATTTATGGGTATCGGTACAAATAAAAATTGGCAATACTATCTCGGATATTGCCATTTGCGCGGTATATTTACCTCCACCAGTTAAATCAGATACTTTAACATATTTCCTTGACAAAGTTGATAACGTAACGAACCAACCCAATAACGTTCTAATTATGGGCGATTTTAATCTAGGATTCATTAACTGGAGTAGAGATCATGATCATATTGCTCAAATGGTTCCATCTAATTACAATAGTACCCTCGGATGCGGTCTTATTGATTTTATGTCTCTTAACAACTTTAGTCAATTTAACAACATACCAAACAGTGACGGCAGATACTTAGATCTCATTATGAGCAACTTTCCCGGTGTTGATGTCTCGGAGCCTCTAGAACTCTTGAGTAGGCTGGACTGTAAACATCCTAATCTTTTAGTAACATTGCAAAAAACAAATTTCCAGCCTAAGAAACGAACTGACCACAATTTCTATAGGGCAAATTACGAGGAAATTGCCTCGGACCTGGAGTGTATAGATTGGGTAGAGAGGTTTTCGAGCTGTAGCAACGCCAATGAAATGGTTACAAAATTCTATGATGAGCTAAGATTAATTATTGATAGATCTGTCCCCAAGCGCCGTCCTTCCAAGAGTAAAAACCACAAATGGTTTAGCCGCACCCTAATTAAACTTCTCTCTGAGAAAAATAAGCTACGCAACAGATATCGGAAATATGGTAATCCACGTGACAAATTTGAACATGACCTCTTACGGAGCCGCTGTCATAAGCTTATTGACAAGTGCTATAGTGACAAATATTGAGAATGGAATATCGCGTAATGTCAAATCTTTTTGGCAATACATAAGACAAAAGAGACCAGTCAACTCTTCCGTCAAAAATGCAATTAAACGATTTCATTGCAGAATTTGGTTCCGAAGTAACCACTCTTTTCACCAGACATTTTGCTTCCACGTTCAGTTCAAATTTTGAAAAAACAAATCACATCTTCGAGGATTTATCGCCACTTATTTTATCGAATATTCAATTTTCTGAAAATGATACCTTAAGAGCAATTAAACGATTAGACATACAGAAAGGAGCCGGTCCTGATAAAATACCTCCTCTATTTATAAAGACCTGTAGATCTCTCTTGTCTCAACCATTAACTATGATCTTCAATTGTTCGCTCAGAGATGGTGTGTTCCCTGAGGAATGGAAAAAAGCAAAAATAGTACCTGCATACAAAAAAGGTGAAACAAGCAACGTTAAAAACTACCGGCCGATTTCCATTTTATCCACATTTTCGAAATTGTTCGAGTCTCTGATTAATCCACTAATTATTAGCCACATAGATACTTCACTAACTGAGTACCAGCATGGGTTCCGCAGGGGCCGTTCAACACAGACTAATTTGGTCTCATAATGATTTCTTAAATTTACGCGAACACTACACATTGAATAAAAACTAAATTTCATTTAAAAGGGATCCATAAAAACCCGCATTAAAGAACATATAGCTGACGTGAAGCACCGATGCTCCGGGAAGTCTGCAGTCTGCGAACATGTTCAAGATCGTCCCCACCATTACATTCGTTTTGATAAACCACACATTCTCGCAAAAGAACACCGATTCCTACCAAGGATGATGCGCGAGGCTATTGAAATTAAAAAAACATCCAAATTTCAATAGAGAAGATGGATGGGTGCTGCCACCTGCTTGGGATCCTATAATTAACAAAATTAAACCAAAACCTAAGCATACCACTGCAAGACTTCATGATACTATAAGCTCGTTTTGCGTAAATCGGACCAAAATTAATATTCAAAAACTGAAGATAGCCGGACTAACTATGACATTGGGACGTCAAACATCTCAGTCCCCCCCGTGACCATGGTTGCTGTAAAGCACCCGAAACGTCGGGAATTAAAAATAAGTAAAAGTAGTGAAATAAACGCGATAAAATCCGTAAATTTAGTTTTTATTTAATTTGGTCTCATTTATTTCAGAAATTGCACTGGAGGTTAATAGTGGAAGTCAAATTGATGCTGTATACACAGATTTTACCAGTGCTTTCGACAAAGTAAATCACGCACTACTTTTAACAAAATTGCAAATGAAAGGGATACATGGTAGTTTGCTTCACTGGTTTAGATCTTACCTTAGTATGAGACCCCAGGTTGTTGCTGTTGGGGGTTTTGAGTCAGATATATATTTTGCATCGTCAGGAGTCCCACAGGGATCTCACTTAGGCCCACTCCTATTTCTTATATTTATTGACGATATAGCGGTGCACATAAAAAACTGTAAATTGAGCTTATTTGCAGATGATTTAAAAATTTACAGAGCAATCAATTCTTCCCATGACATAAAACTTATCCAGGAGGATTTAGACAGTACTCACACATGGTGTGAATCAAATGATATAATACCCTAAACGTTGATAAATGCTACCATATCAAATTCACAAAAAAGAAAAATCATTTCCCATCAACTTATGAAATTAACGGCTCAACATTAACTGAAGTATAAGAAATAAGAGATTTAGGTGTAACAGTAGACAAGCACCTTAAATTCACTTCACATATTAACAATATTGTGCATAAATCCTCGAAAATGCTTGGTTTTCTTAGGCGAAGTACTGCGGGTTTCCGTTTAAATTACACCCGAAAAATATTATATAATGCTTTGGTCCGGAGTAACAGGGAGTACGCTAGCGTGGCATGGAACCCTGTATATGCTGTTCACTCTCAACGCTTGGAGGGTATTCAGCGTAGATTCACTAGGCATTTGGCATTTATTACGCAGGGCGTGTCACACCGGTCACCATATGAGCATCGTCTTGTCTTTTTTTAAATGAAATCGTTGCGTAGCCGTCGAAGGAATCAGGAATTTGGTGTTTTTGCACGGACTTGTCAACGGCAAAATAAAATGTAATGAGCTCCTAGAACGTGTTAAATTGACGGTGCCTGCTCGCATACCCCGACATCCTATCAAAAAAACTTTTGCCTTGCCTTTTGTGAGGACTAACTTTGGACGCCATTCTCCTCTCGTCAGATGTTGCGCACAGTACAACGAGATGAATATCGAAACATTTGACATTTTCCACGACTCGTTGATTAAATTGAAAATGGCCCTTTGTGAAGAGGCAATGTTCTTAAAGTTTTTAGGATTTTTTTGGTGAATTTTACTATTTTATTGTTTTTTCAGATATTATATATATATATATATATATATATATATATATATATATATATATATATATATATATAATGTTGTTACTTAATATCATCTGTCAATGTTGTGTACACCTATAATAGGTATATGTATAAGAAATTATACTATAAAAATGTAACTTATAATATGTATACATGTACTGTTGATGTACCTTTTAAATAAAAAAAATTAAAAAAATTATGTCGGTGTCCTCACCGTATGTTTCATTTTTCAGAACCTCTTTTGTCGCCGATTACCTGTCATCTTTCGGTTTTGGTGCTATTACTCTTGATAGTTCGCACACTTGGATTTTCGTGAGAATATCTTCCCGGGCTGCTGAGCTCCCCGGGTTGATTTTTATTTGTCCGTTCGTCACTCTAAGCGTTGAATTATTTGTTGATGTCGCCTCTCTTATAAATCTGAGGGCGCGTTGGTCTTTCATTATTTTTTCATCCCTAATTATAATAATTAGGGATGAAAAAATAATGAAATCGGGGATATGTGTGTTTTTCTGTGCGGGCGTCACGAACTTATCTGTTCCGGTGCGTTGTCTTTTTATTCCTCTATTTTCGTTTTGTAGCGTTTCAAATCTGTTTGCTAACGGTATATTATAGATTGTTTCCAAGTTGGCCTTGGTTTGCCTGTCCGCGCGCTGGGTGTTACATGTGGCGGCCAAACTCTGGGTTGTTTCGGTCGCGCAGGCACGCGCCGTGATCGTGTGGCTTTGGGCGATGGTGTCGTTTCTTTTGTTCGCTAGCGTAGACGCTCGCACGAATTGTCGTTCCCCTGAGGTGAGGCAGGGGGCGGTCCGGGCGGCGAGCGGCTTGCATGTGCCGTTCGTCGGCTCTAAACTCGTTCGTTGCACGTGCACTGGCTCTTGCAAGCCAACGCCCTGGTATGTATTTAGTGCGCAAAGTCCGACGGTATTATTTGTCGTTCTGACTTACGATTTCTTTTTTTCTTGCCTCTTTGGGTGGTCAGAGACGGTCTTGAATCCTCTGACGTGGTTTTTATAAGTGCGCATTGATTTTTGCCGCACTTACAGATGAATCATTCCTCCGATGTAAATGCGTCTATCGGTAGGGTAATCAATTCTCTCTTTGTTTTACAGTCCACGCACGCACGAAAGTTGCATACTCCGGTTTTTATTGAGGCTGTGTATATTGTTATGGTAGTTTCGATTTTTAGTGTGTCTTTTTCGAATTTGGGCACTATACTAGTAGACGCCTTTATGAGAAAGCTTTCCATGCATACCTTACATTGGATTTTCCTCGTGTTCATTTGATTGGTACCCCACATGGGGGCGTCCGTTTGGAAGTATTTGTTCAATAATAATATAATCATTCCCTGTATTATATTATTATTGAACTCTGTATTATATTTTTATTGAACTCATTGAGGTCCATTTTCACTTTGTCTTTCACTTGTTTACTGTCCGTGTCTAGACTAAGTAGATCAGTGTTCATATCATTAGAGTTGTGTGAACTTTCACTGTTGTTTTTCGAGAGCATGTTTCCTGTTACTCTTGATTCACTAATTCTGTTGGGTGTTGCCTGTCTCACTACTTCTGGTGAATCCCAGGGGGTGCTCCCCCCGGGTTCCTCACAGTTCATGATTTTTCACTTTCTATTCACTTCAAGTCTCGTTTCAATGTGGATTGTTTTAAGAACCGCACAAAATTTCAAGATACCACACGCAGTACGCGGGTCGTGCGCGGATCGGCTCTCGGGAGCTTTCCGCTGCGCGCGTCCGTTCGCTACGGCGGTCCGCGCGAGTCTGTCTCCGCGGGACCTGGAGGCTACTGACGCTTCGGAAAATCCCTTCCCAGAGGCGCGAGATACGCTAACTTCTGCCTAGGAATTCACCAGGCCTTAACCTAGAGCCAGGGAGGAGCACTGGAGGCCCGGAGTGCTGCTATTAGGAGCGCACACCTGTCGGCAGGATTGGCCCTGCGTCAAATCCCTGTCCGCGGGACTCCGCGGGGCTTCGAGACTGCTGACCCTCCGGAAGCACCTACCTGGCGGCGCGCAATACGTCAAAGAAGATTGCCTACAATGTCGTACAATGTACGGCTCCCAAGACCGATCCATAGAAATGGACTGTGAGGATAACCCGGGTAATGGGGAACACCCTCGTCGTATCTACTCAGTTTCAAGGCACTCCCATTGTTACCTCTGTCAGTGGCAGTATTAGAATCCTCGGCGTTGACATCTCGAGTGACGTGCAGTGTCGTAGTCACTTGGAAGAGAAGGCCAAATTGACCTCTAAAAAGCTTGGCGTGTTCAGCAGAGCGGGATAGTATTTCATGCTGACTCACCGCCTGCAACTTTACAAGGCGCAGGTTTAGCCGCACATGGAATACTTTTCCCATCTCTGGGCTGGGACTCCCCAGTGCTAGCTCCCTCCATTTGATCGCATCCAGCGCGGAGCTGTTCGAATCGTTGGTGACCGAGCTCTTTCCGATCAGCTGGATTCACTGGCACTGCGAAGAGATGTTGCATCTTGCTCTTTGCGCATTTTATCGCGTCTACCACGGGGAGTGCTCTGAGGAATTGTTCGGACTAATTCCAGCTGCACAATTTCACCATCGCACATCACGACAAACCTCGCAATACCATCCATACCATCTGGATGACTGGCGATCCACCACCGTGCATTTTATAGGAAGTTTTCTTCCTTGAACAATTTCCTTGTGGAATCCACTACCACCAGAGATTTTTACAGACCGATACGACTTAGGGACCTTCAAGAAAACAGCCTAGTCCTGTTTAAAAGGCCGGTAACGAATCTGTAATTTCCTTGGTGTTGCAGTTGTTCATGGGCGGCGGTAATCACTTACCATCAGGTGAGCCGTATGCTCGTTTGCCCCCTCTATAAAAAAATCTAAATCTAATATAATTGTTAAAATTAACTTCCTTACAACAACTCTTAATAACTTTTTACATTAGATTGGAGAAAAATTGTGGAATAAAAAGCGTGTTCCGCTGTTTCGTACATAGGTGAATGGCTAAGCATAGGCAGTAATAAGCGCCACAGAATAAATAATAGTACTACGTACAGAAAATGCAATCATTTGATGTTTAATAGCCTACATAATTGTTATTAATTGGATAAATCGCGTATGCAAGCTAAATAAAACTTTATCCTAGCTTGCATGAGCGATTTATTTTTGCCTGTATTACTTTGCTCCTTTTCCCTTGTTACGTCACGACAGACTTTCCGTTGTTACAAAGGACTGTCAATATAAACTAAAAAAATACATTGCAAAATATTAACTAAGTTACTCAGGTAAGGTACCTTTTCCGAATATGATCGATTGACCATATTAGCGCTACTATGTGAGTTCCGTGATGCCTTACCTTTGCAACTTGCAAGGCAATTCGCCACGCATCACGATGCTTGCCTTGGAAGAAATAGGTAGGTTGTGTAAACAATATATAAAGAATGATTCAAGGTACACCGTGTCACGATCGGGCCGGGACACGGTCGCATATCGTGGATCATAATTTTTGTATGAAGTAATTCATGCTTGAGCGTGATGCTGCCGTGCCCTTGCTATGCGCCACCGGAACTCTGAAGAGGCACGGCGTCGGTGAGTATTGTTTCCCGGCTCCAGCTCGGGCCTAATCGTTCAATGGGGTTCAATCGTTTTTTGGTTAGATCTGGTTTTACTTTTTCAAGTAAATAAGTATAGCATTCTTTAGATATACTTAAATAACCATAAAACTTGATCTTGTCTAAGGGTGGGCGTTATGACGACGAACCGTTTACAAAGACCGTTTTGTGTTCTGCGACGATGAAACTGTTTTACGTCCTGGGTTCAAACAGTTTTATTTGCACAAACCACTCTTCGAATTACTTGGTGCGATTTTTTTATTTGACGCCTGTGAAAATACAGTCGAGGACGTAATAATTCGACTATCTATCCCACTCGTCAAGTCTTCGTCCTTAAAATTCCGCGTTATATTATAGTCTTTGGTTCCGCGTTCACAAACGTAGACAGAGACTAAACAGTCTTTACAATAAAAAGTGAACTTTTTGTCAATGAAATACAGTCGCTAATGTTAATGGTAATGCAAGGTCTGTCTCAGCCAGTCCTAAGCCTGGAAGAGTATGAAGGGAAGTTCACTTCACCGTTAAGTAAAGTCGATCGATAAAGCGAATTATTTAGTAAACCATTACATACATTTCAAACCCATTACATACAACTCAACGAAAACGCAATTCTATTCCATGTTGGATAAGTTTTGTCCTTTAAGCCGTCTTCAAACCAGTTACAACGATGACCGTTTTCATCGTCGGGACAATGGCTGCGTTTCGACCGTCAAAAATTCGACAACGATCCACTAAGTATTCTTTGTAGAATAAAGCGAATTCTCCTTCTGCTTCTTGCTTTCTGCAGGTTGGATGTACACATCATCTTCTTTTAGTAGTTTCACTTCGTATTTTCAATATATCGTCAGTCATGGCAATTGCAATAGCTGCCAAATCAAGTTGTGAAAATTGCATATTTAACTCAAGAGCCACGTCTATCAACTGATGAAATCACTAGTTGACACAAAATACCTATCACAGATACGGCTTTGCAAAGAATACACGCAAACAGTCCGGTGTAGCAAGAATGACTTGCCCGGCCGCCGCACAGTGGACGTGTCCCGGGTGAAGCCCGATCAGGTAGCGACACGGTGTAACGTGAATCGCCTTAATCCCAAAATACGATTCCTTACAGAAATGTGATCATATTCTACTTAATTAAAAATCTGGTAAAAAATTAATTTCAGTATTTTATGTTATAATACCTTAAAATGTTTTAATTACAAAAGACAAGTACAGGTATGTAAGTAAGTACTTGGATAGTGAAGTAAATTTCAACTATACCAATTATTTATATTCCAACTATAACTTATAAGTTTTGTAATAAAGTATTTGGGTATTAATTCTGTAGTTAAATGATTACTTGATTCTTTTTTCGCTATAAGTACCTATGTAACGAAAAAAATTAAATAAATTAATCTGAAAAAATCTAAATAAAATAATAAATCTGATGAACTATTTCAAGAAGCATTTAGAAAAGCTAGTTACGTAAACAGCGTTAAAAACATTAACATTAACTCGCCTATAACGCGCTAGCCCTGACGATTTACGCGATTGTAGGTTAGGATTTCACGCAAGTAGCAAAAGTGACAGAGGACTGGAAACGTGAGGAATAACGTCACATCACGAGCGCGTGTAATCTCGGGAATTTGAAAAATCATCCCCAAATTCTCGTAGTAATAACTTCGGGATTACTGCATTTATTGACGTAAAATAAAAGCTAGCGTGATATATGTAAAATAAGCTTTTATATTATATGTCACATTTTTGAGACTGTTCATTTCATAGACGTATAAATTCAGTGGTTCATTGGTGTTTCTTATTAGTTTGCGGTTCATTGTTACCCGTGTTTACAGTTCATACCAGTTCATACTGGCTACGCACGCCACAAACAACAACAAGAGAACAACTCTTGTTACCAACCATAGATTACCACTTTTACTCTTTAGCATGGAGTATAAAGGCAAGGACACAAACTAATAAGAGTACTAACCGCTACTAACGTAGGTATGGACGACAATCTCCCATAGAATTGTTGAAAATGTGTCCATCTGTAAGCAGTAAATAATAGTTCAAAAACTCTCCACAACAGCGCTCGAGTATCTAAAGGGTATGATAAATCACCGTAAAATACGTTAAGAATGATTTTGAAAATACAAATGTTGAAAGAAACATAATAATTATTGTAAAAAGAATTATGGTGAAAGTATGTGCAATAAAAAAATTATAAAAAGTTCTTTAATATTTAGACTGTAGCTACAGTGGCGCCTCTCTTATTTAGCACTTCCGCTAGGGACACTTTCTTATGCAGAGTCTGTACTCGTCTTTAGTCAATATGTCGGAATGTCGGACTTGGTGGGTGATGAAATGTGTTTGTCAACATTCTATCGATCTAAATTAATAAAATAATTTTAAAATATAGTCACAGTAATGTTGTAAATTGTTAATTTATGGGGGAAATATAATTTCTCAAGCTATAGGTTTCTACACTAAGTAAAATAAAATACAATTACATTATGCGTTAAAAATTTTAAGAGAAAATAAGCAAACTAATTTACTTATTTCGTGAATTCGTAATCGGTAACATTAATTCTTTAAAATATGTTATGAAATCCGTAATCCGTTAAATTATAAGGAAAGTGCAGCGTTTCGAGAATTTCATTGCGTTATGAAAAATCAATAAATTCTGCAGTGCCGTTGCTTAGTTGTAATTACATAGGTACCTAGGCACTTGTTCAATTTCGTTTAAAAATGAAATACGTATTCATGTTAATATAATCAAAGAAAATGATGGACGGAATGCTGACCCAAAGAGTAACACCACTATTAAAATGTGTCGTGCTGTTTCTGTTCATATTCACGGCGAAAGTATTAACATCACGGCCTCAAGAATCTCAAGACTCTAAAAACAATATACATCATTTAAAGCCGGCACACTATGTAAGGACATTCACCAAATATCACCACAGAAGGACCATACAATGGAACAATTTACAAGATTTATCTGAATACTGGCCAACACAAGATCATCCCAAAGCTATAGGTAAAAGAAGTGTTGATATTCCAGATACAAACGATTTTGTGAGCCGGTCTAGTGCTTCAGATCAGCTAGCTTTGGACTCTAGAAATAACTTTGTTGGTTCATTTGACAAGAATGCAATAAGTTCTGGTAAAGAAGATCTTGGTACCCAGAATGCATTAACAAATGAAGTGAAACAGTACAAAGTAAAGGCAGCTATAATAGTAACCGACGCTCCTACCACAACTGGTCCAACAATATCATGTGTTTATAAGATACACCGTGTAGCTATGAGTGCAACTCCACCTTATGAAGACGAAAGAAATGCTCAATTAATGGTTGAAACTGAAATATTTGGTGAGTGTAATAAATAGTATGTCTTAAGCTCTTATAGATTAATAATAGGCCAATATTTAAATATCACTTTGAAAAATTGAAATTGAAAAAATCTTTATTGCAACAAAAACAAATTTATACATATCAATGTAATCCTAGCTCCTGTAAAAAGTTAACCTGAGTAACCGGAGCTAGTTCCTTCCTAAATTTAACAAGCTTTTGTTGAATAAAAATACAAAAAATATATATACTTAGATCTATATCTAAACCTAAGTATGTGCACGCTATGTATGTGCGTACATGAGCGTATGTGTGGTGAGAGTGTGTTTTAGCCTGAATTATTAATGACTAACTGTTGCCTGCGGCTTCGCCCGCATGATCACTGGGAAATTAATTATCCATTGCTTTTTGAATTGGAAGAAAACTGAGTTTTATAGATTTGTCAGAGATGCAGCCATTAAAAGGAAACTGAGCAAAATTGATTTGTCAGCCTATTTAAATGTTTTGAAATGCAGCGTATAGGAAAGCATGAAAATAGCCTGTTTATTCCAAATGGAAATGGGATATTTTTTAATTAAAGGAAACTGAGCATAATTATCCGTCAGGGATGCAAACTTAAAAAGAAAATGAGCTAAATTGATTCGTCAGAGATGCAGTTTTCTGAATTGAAAGGAGACTGAGCCAAATAAAAGATCCGTCAGATATGCAGCCTTTTGAGTTGAAAGGAAACTGAGCTTAATAGGTCCGTCAGAGGTGCAGCATTTGGAATTGAAAAGAAACTGAGCTAAATAGGAAATTTTGAATTGAAAGGGAAGATCTGTGGGAATTCTGATTAATTGATTGTGGGAATTTTTGAAAAAAAAAACTAACTGAACACTATTTTAAGACGCTACTGTACACAATGTTATATGTTTTTCCATTAGGGGAAAGAGTGTGGAGATTCTGGGCATTTGACACATGCGAACATGCTACATACAGCTGACCATGAGAGAAGCACGGTTTTTCTAAGTTGACCCCCACTACCTGTAACGTTTGCCCTTGCGCTTTATTAATTGTCATTGCAAAACTGAGCTTAATAGGGAACTGCAACCTTTTGAATTGAAAAGGAAGATCTGTGGGAATTATAGGGATCCGTGGTATAATAACATTTTCACCTTTTCCTACGCCTGTCAAAATTGTAGCACCGATTATGTTCCGTCCAAGATGTGTTACACGCAGCCTTGTCCCATTACATAACCGAGGAGCATCTAAATTTCGTATTAGCATGACTGGGACGCCTAATTTTAATTGAGACTTATGTGAGGGCACACCTGACAACTCTAGAGAATTTAGAAACTCTGTGGGATATGAAGTGCTCTGTTCTGTGTCCATAACTGTGTCTATTGACAAATACTCTGTTATTTCTCATGCTACTTCGCTTAATATATCTGAATTTACTTTGTTAACACTCATTTTTGGTGCAAGAATCGCCCTTTCACACAACCATTTTTTTTCATGCATGTTGTTCGTTAAATCTGAATAAATGCTCGCAATTAATTAGGAATGACTCTGTACTAAATTACAAAAATCTCTCGTCAATTTAACGCAGCCCTCAGCATCCATTTCCAACCGCCCATTGCCAATTTTTAGTAGTGTGTCAGCATAGTTTCCAGCATTGATATCATTATACAAATGCACTCTCATATTCGTAGTTAAACTGAGGCATGCTTTAATTTCATCTGCAGGTGTGCCCTTTTGAATGACAGGTAAAGTTTGGCGAAAGTCACCAGCCAGTAAAACCACCATTCCTCCCATTACATCGGTATTGCTGCGCAAATGCTAGAGCGTTCGATTTAGTGCTTCTACAGCTTTTTTATGCGACATTGTACTTTCGCCCCACACTAAAAGTTTGCATTGTCGTAGCATTATACCTCGTGCACTATTTTTGCTAAAGGGGCTAGATTTAGAGGGAGTTTTAAAACAGAATGTGCAGTGCGGCCCCCGCTTAGCAGAGTGACGGCTATACCGGAGGAAGATACGGCCACAGCGATGTTTTTATCTTTCCGTACTTGCGCTAATAATAAATTTAACAAAAATGTCTTCCCAGTTCCTCCAGGGGCATCTAAAAAGAAAAGTGCACCATTTCCAGATTCAATTTATCCTAATACTTTGTCAAAAACTCGTTTCTGTTCGGGAAGCAAGCGGGGTACAAATTCGGCTACTTGCTGCTGCAAAGCTGGTATATCGTAGTTTGTTTCACATATAATTTCATCACTTAGTTCATTTTCGGTTGTTCGCTGAGGGCTTATCATTCCAAAGTCGCATAGTTTTTTGCCTACCATTGCCATTACTTTATCTTCAATTTTTCCAAGTGCTTCATTATAAATGTGTTCATTGTATGTCATGTTTGCGTGTGTCTGCTGTAACCTTCGCAAAATATCTTCCGCCATGTACTCTTTATATTTGTCCCACAATTCATGTGCATTAGATAGCCCGCAAGATGATATGAGAGTTGCATAAAGATCCCTAATTTTGGCTGGTGACTGGCACTGCACAGCTTCCTCCATGGTTTCATCCCAGTGATTATCGTTTTCTAAAAGATTCAGAGCTTCACATGCTTCTCTATAAGTTGCGCATTCCTGACCGTTGATAGTTTTAAGGTCTTTATATCCTGACCCAGAACATGGTGCAGCAGCAATCGTAAACAGAAACATTCAAAATTAGTTACATGGACGGTATACACACAACCAAGGGCATCTGATGACTTTACACTGGGCCAATTTGCAACAGGCGCGCCTTGAATACAGCGTTTCCACTCCTGCCTAGATGTGTTCCAAGTATAATAGCAGGGGATTTCAGAATATAACAACGATTTTGCAAAGGGGTTGGTTTGACAAAGTTGAAAGAAGGCTGTTAGTGTAGTTTTTGTCGGTGATGCAATTCTTTCTTGGAAATTTCTTTCGGTTAAATATACACGCTCTCCATTTTCTAAGTGCACAGCAAGGTGAGTAACTGTTGGGTGCCTTTCATGTAAAGGGAAGCCAAGGAGACGCCACGCTACCTCGTTACTGCTGACATAACGCCCTGCTTGAAAGGTCTGTACTTCATTAACAGGGTTTGCCTCACCTTCACTCCTGAGATTAAATATTGCTTGGTCGCTTCCTTTATTTATGTACTTACAGATATACTTGATTGCGCGGACAGAGCTACATGCTTCTACATTAATGTGGGCATTAAACATTTTACATAGAATGGGCGAATATAGGACAATCCAGCTGTTATCTAAGGTTTCTAACGCTTCAGAGTGAGATTTGATTGTAACTTTCCTGCCACCATCTTTGGGAGCTCTGCGTCTGTATAAAGGGTAGCCATTGTCAGTGTGCACTGTTTCTTTTAATAGCTGTTTAGGGAATTTCTTTGTACATTTTCCTTCTTTCACACATGGCGATATTGAATTTCGTGCTCCACATGGACCGTGAATCATATTTCGGACGATGGTATCATACAATTCTTTATCTTGCTCAAGATCCGGGATCTCGGCGCTTATTATGTCGTCTATTTGGCTGGGCCGCAACTTCTCTTTAAGCCATATTAGAATGTAGGCATGCGGTAATCCTCTTTTTTACCATTCAATTGAATACATGAAGCACTGCACCTCTCCGAAACTGTACTTTTAATCTAAATACTCTAGCAAATAAATTGTGTCTGTCAGTACTTTTTTGGCCCGGCATTAGCTCCTCGGTTATTTCTTTCCATGTGGGATTGCAAGTAAAAGTAAAAAAAAGATCAGGTCTTCTGTAAGTTCGTACATAGGCGAATGCGTCTTGTGTGTACTCATGTAGGTAGCGGGGACTGTTAACGAATGATGAGGGCAGAATTACCATTTTACCTAAATCTCTGGGGTTTACATTGGCGTCGCTAGAAACTGCATCTTGTAAATGTATATAATTCTCAACATGCAGCTTTTTTTGATTTAAAGATATATAATGGAGACATTCACTTTCTACCTTCACATACATATCTACCAAAAATTTATGAAATAATTGTCTACACCGGGCTAAGAGCAACATCATATAGGTCCATATAGGTAGGAGTAGGCTCCTTTGTGACGGGGTTAATGAGTGGAATTTGAAAATGATAACCCTCTTGTCCTTTGCAATAAATCAATGGGTATTGCAGAGCGTCATAAAACTTGTGTGTATCGGCTACCCGTTGCAACATATCATCACGTGCTCGCAAGACAAGGTCTCATGAAGAAAATTGATCACCACTAATTACGGCTGCTATTTCGTTTATCAAAGGTGCATTGTAGCGCCTTTCATGCTCTCCTCGAGGGGTCCGATCTGCATGAATGACGACTTTATAATCCTCTTCAGGTAGGTTTTCTAAAGCAGTTTTAAATGTTTTGACTAAAATGTTACGTTCATGCAAGAATATTTGAATTCTGAACACTGTGTCTCTCTCAACTCCCTGGATAAATTGGCAGCTAAGGTCTACCTCAATTTCTTCGTCACCCATAAAATATACTTGTAAAAATTTATATTATAATTTATTAATTTTCGTTTTCACCTGGATAAAAGTAAACCTATTCTATGATAAATTTGCCCTTGCACCGTAAATGTAGACGAAAATCCCGGCATTATTATTTCCCGGTCAACTCCGAAGGACGTCATTTGAAAGCATGAGTTATATTTCCGTATCCTATTTAAAAATCGCCGTGACTCATTAGCATCCAATAAAAAGAGAGTTTTCAAAGGTTCTTCTGGTTCCCCAAGTAGCGGAAGAGACACTTTACCATTAGAACAGCACATGCCTGCGATCTCATCTTTCCATTTTAAAGTGCTGCAAAATCGACACTCCTTGTCCATCAGTCCGGTAACAACTAACCTGTGATTTTTATAATCAATCAACGGATCATAATTGAATGCTGCGTCATAAAAAACCGACCAATTGTTTCTTTGAAAATTTTGTCGAAGTTCAGCTTGGAGCTGTGCATTGGCATCTCTTCGCGCCTGTGTCTGTTCTGGTGTTTCAGATGCCCTTGTAGTAGATTGACGTTCAGCTTGCTCAATGAGTCTGTGTTGAGTTTCATCAGGTGTTTCTCCGGCTCTTAAGGCGTCCTGACGTTCCGCTTGTTTGAATAGCCTTTGCTGACTTTGAGCAGGTGTTTCAGTAGCTCTTAAAGTAGATTGACGCTCTGCCTGTTCAAGACGCCTTTGCTGACTTTGAGCAGGTGTTTCATTAGCTCTTAAAGTAGCTTGACACTCTGTCTGTTCAAGACGCCTTCGCTGACTTTGAGAAGGTGTTTCAGAAACTCTTAAAGTAGCTTGACGCTCTGCCTGTTCAAGACGCCTTTCCTGACTTTGAGAAGGTGTTTCGGAAGCTCTTATAGCAGCCTGACGCTCTGTCTGTTCTTGCCTTCTCAGTTCAGCATCTTCTAAAGATTCTAGCGATCAAACTAATCTTTTCGCTTGTCTTTGAGAAGATACTCTTGAAAGGCTGGACTTACGTTTGCGAGGCATTATGAAGTAACAAAAAACCTATTTATAAAAAAAAACGTTAAAATACCTAAAAGGAATTAAATTTCCATTTTTTTTTAAATTAAATCCAAAATATCTAAAAGGAGTAAATATTCCTTTTAAATATTTTTTAAAATCAAAACATCAAAACCAAATCAAGACACAACATGAATCCGAAAACGATAAAAATCACTAAACAAATCGCAGAAAACCGAAATCGAAAGCAGTAGTTAATATAAATATTACCAACGAAAAAAGAAGTAAGTTTATAGGTACCGTATACACTATCTATTCTATTAATATTCCTTTGAAATATTGTTAAACAACCTAAAACAACGAAAACCAATTCACGATTCTAAACAAACAAAATCCAAAATCAAAGGCCAGAGTCTAAATATGTATAAAGGAATACCAACCAAATCAACAAAACCGATCCAAGAAAATACACAAATCCGAAAATAAAAGCCAATATAAATCCATTCAACCTTAACCAAATCACAAAGCAAATAACAAACAACCGAAATCGAAAGCAGGTAGTCGAATAAGCTACGAAATAGAAACAATTTAAGCGTATAGGTACCGTATGCATTATAAGTTGACGCGCGGCTCAACGGCGGGAGTGAAGTACATGTCAGGAAACATTTCGTTACCGCGTTTTAAATACCTAGTTACGACATCTAGCGGAATCAATTTAAACTATGTATACGTTAGTTAATAAGAACTCTCAAAAAATATTTTTCTTATAATTTTGCACAATTTTTCTTATTGTAATACCGATTCATTCATAACCACATATAAGAACTGTATTCAATTCCGTTCAATAAATACTTATTAATAAGGCTTACTAAGAACTGTTTCTACCACAGTTAAGTAATAGTTAAGGGTGAAAGCGTGACAGGTGGTGATAGTATTTCTAATTAATACTTATAATCACGCCTGTAACCCTTGCGGGGTAGGCAGAGCATCAACGGATTACTTAATATCGTCTGCGAGGTTATCGCCTATTCTGTAAATTACAATGCACCAAAATGTTTGAAGAAAATCAGCTGGTGAATTTTATGTTTTTTATCGCTCTCTTCCCGGTCCTGCGTGGAAAAATACAGATCCAAACATTTTCTATCTTAATTTTGGTAAAAATACATAATAATCCAGATATTATGACCTGTGTTTGTCCATCGTACCGTCGTCCGTCTTGTAGAATCACGGTGGCGCCACCTAGCTGAGTTTAATTTTGCAACATATTCGATTTTCCCACCGGAATGATATGTTTTCCGCCGAAAAAAGTAGCCTCTGTCACTCTACAGCCACCGAGCTATCCCCATACAAAAAAATCATGCCATGCCGACGCTCTGTTGCGACGTGAAAGAAGGACAAACAAACAAACACACTTTCGCCTTTATAATATTAGTATGGATTTATACGTATTATAAATAATATAAGAACAATAAAAAATTACAATTACATTTAAGTATTAGAGGTTCAATAGACATTCAGTAGCGTCATAGTCATAAGTTTGAAGCCAATTAATAATTATATTTTTGATTTGATTGTTGTTGTAGATTTTAGTAATACAAATTTTATTAAATTTATTGTATAGTACGGTAAAACGCAATGTAAAAAAATTGTCTTTTGTCAAAAGCAACATGTGTTCTAGGGACTAACAGTCCTACTACAAAAAGCATTTAAACACTGGTTCAACACGTGTTTAGTTAGACACGGACTTAAATGATAAACACATGTTAAACAATGGTTTAAATTTCGCTACCACTAAACCGTGTTTAACGCGTGCCTCTATAGACAACGTTTAACTTTATTCTATAGGTCACACTGCAATACATTCGTTCGGCATTCGATCATTCGTTTTGTTTTACGCAAATTTCGATAATAAAAAAGATATATATATATATATATATATATATATATGTAACTATATCTTTTGTAAAATTTTCATGAGTTATTTTATTTATGAACAAAAACAAATAAAATTGCAAATAATAGGCAAACATACAGGCTGATGGGTGAAGCTATTCTTCTCTACCGACGCCACACGTAAGCATAGTTTAATTTTGTATGAATCGAACTTACTTGATGACGAGCCCAGTTCCGTAATGCACAAGCCACTTGCACTGCTGGATCTATTGTGTTACCACGAGAATCACTCGGGATATCGTCTTTCACAAGATCTAATATTTTTCTAGCAAAAAGTTTGCTGAACCCACATTTTTCTTAAACTTCACGTCGTCGTATTTTTCCTAGTAACGGATTAACCCTCACACGAACCTTATTACTTTCTCGGAACATTTCCGTATAGTCCATGTCACCTTCATCGAAGTAATCAACAAAATAAACTATATCCATGTTAAATAAAAATACTGAACTGACGGAAAGATAGGTTAAACACTAGTTAAACAAGGGTTTGCGGCTGTTTAAATTTAAACAACGTCTAAGCCGTGTCTATCCATAAACCACCGTTAAACACTCTTTTGCAGTAACCAATTTGCTAAACACGTGTTGAACAGATGTCTAACTTTTTTGTAGTAAGACAGTTAGTATCTATCTACTTTGTTTCTTCTATTATGTTTTTTACTGTCAAGTTGATAGTGTGCAGAGTACCTATGGAATCGTCTAATACATTGGTATGTAAATAATTTTCTCACACTAAGTACCTGTGTTTTATCATACAACAGTGTTGTGGGATGTCTATATGGAAGAAAAAGTAATACTTTGAGCACAACACGTTGAGCTCTTTCAGCATCTATTAATTATGTTTTGCCTGCCCCACCCCAGGAACAGATCCCATAAGTGATGACAGATTGACAGACTTGTTTTGTTACTTTGTTTGGTTAGAAGATTTTCAAGCATTGCAAGTAATTCAAAATAACTATATTTTCATTAAAAAAAAAACAATATAACATAATATGTTTAAAAACTACATTATTTTCTATCAGTTTCTATGTTGTGTATTCATGTAATCTAAAACTAACCAGATATAAGATAGAGATATTCTAATATCTTCTTTGATTAAGTTTGTAATTCAATAAATAGCAAGTACTAATACACCATTTATTAATCTTAAATAATGCAGGGAATGATTGATAGATCTAGTAGTAGGTAACTGAAAGTTTGAAGTGGAAAGCTTACATTTAGGCTAAATTGATACACCTTTTGTTTTTTAATTTTATAAATGTTTATATTTTATTTGTATTTGTATGAACATTGATGTATCCCACAGATACTGGTTCTCTCTCTGAAACAACGCTACCAAATGGTGAAGTAGTTCAGGTGGAACAGTGTACAGACCCTCGAGCATATTGTTACACTTTGTGGCATCAAGACAAGGAAGGCAATATTACAGTATTGGGTCAAGGTATTTTTAGTGAATTCTAGTTTTCATTACATTCCCTTATATATGTATTTCTTACAAATATAATTATATTATAATATTACAATAAAAGCAATGACAGTTTTTTCAATTTTTTTCAAACATGATGATAGCTCAGGTGCTAAGTTACCAGAAAAATTTTGCAGCATGTACACGTGAGCAATGTCAGTTTTATCTTAATTGCCATTTTAAGTGTGAGCAACCCAGATTTAGTCCAATTAAATTGTTCATTACAATTTTAAGGTTGGGGGGCGGATATTAATGCCTTTAGGCACTATCTACTAATATGTTGTATGCCATCAGACTTAAAATTTTGGAGCAACAGTAGGGTACCTGATATAGGCATGATTGGTAGAATATAAACATTGTTTTGGATATTTTTATATTTTTGACTGCCTCGTTGGTCTAGTGATTGTAGTAGTGCGACTGCTGATCATGAGGTCCTGGGTTAGAAGCCCGGGTCGGGCCGAAAAATTTATTATTGAGTTTTTCCGTCAAGAAATTCACAGTAGTTGTTCGGAGTCAGGAAGTTGGCGGTGTTTCACCCCCGTGTCTCGGAAAGCACGTAAAGCCGTTGGTCCTGCGCCTGATCTCTCTCCGGTCGTGTCGGTTTACCGTCCCATCGGATTATGAGAGTGAGGGGAGAGCGCACCTGTGCATGCGCATACACTTGGGCACTATAATCCTGCCCTGTGCCGATGGCTAGCCTCCGTTGAGGCAGGCCGCCGTGGCCGAAATTCGGTCTGGAGGACATTATTTGAATATTTAAATGACAGTTACTTTATGGCATTTATCACATTAAATTTAACTTACTCTTAATAAGTTTGGGGGGACAAAATAATTGTTAAACATAGGCGATTTAAATGAAAACATTCTAGTAAGCTAACAATTAATTACAGGTTGTTGGCGTTCATCTCAATCAAATGGTCATAATAGCTGTGACAAATGTACGCGGGTAACTCCACGACTACCTGGGAGCAAGTTCTGTTGTTGTACCAAGAGTTTCTGCAATGCCGATTTTAGTAAGTTTAAAGTATTATTTATGCAGGATGTTGTTATAAAAGTAAAAATTCTCTTATAATTAAAAATTTTCTTTAATGTAATAACATTGAAGTTTTAAGAAAAAAGGATAAATAAATTGACATATCAAATACAACCATCTAGAAAGTTTTGTGAAAAAAGTTATAATTTATTTTGAAAATATGATTATTTACATATAAAAATATGAATGAATAAATTTCAAATATCTGCATTTTGTTCCGTTTATTCACCATAAAAAATCCTCCCTCAGATGTATACTTATTGCTAGAGACTGGATTATATACATTTGCATATTTAGCATCTTTTCAAAGGTAGTTGCATATTTTAGCAAAATCTTTGAAATCATGCATATTTCTCACAATCTCCTAGCTGTGATACACATTTATTATGTCCAACATACATGCGCGTTTAAAACGCTTGAAACTCGTGGATTTGAATGCTTCAGCTTAAAAAGAAAATTTGTCTTATGAACTTTTTTTTTATAAAGGATATAAGGGACAAACGAGCACACAGTCCACCTAAGTACGTGGTTATACCTAAGTAAGTGGTTGCTATGGCCCACAGACATCTACATCTATCCTCGATTAGCGTATAATAGCAGCATAACTCTGCTGTATTTTGTATAGTAAGTGTAGAGAACTGGAGACCCTTTTTACTGGAAATGAGGCATTCCGCCTTAGTCCTCATGGGTGGCAACGCATCTGCATTTTGATTCGTAACCAAGGATAAATGTAGATATTTATGGGCCACAGCAACCATTCTACACTAAGTGGACTGTGTGTTCGTTTGTCACCTAGACCGTTGATGACCTAGTTGATCATTGATCACCTAGACCTAGAATAAAAACTTAAATCATTGAACTTTTTTAGTTTAAAAAATCTTTCTGAGTGACCAACATATTGACATTGAATCTTCTAAATGAATATTTGATTATTTATTTAGCTGTTTTTATCATTTTTGTTTATTTTTTATTTCTGTTTAGCTTCCATCAAAGAAGAAACTGTTACTATAAAAGCCAAGTCTACAGTGAGCGATTCCTCTCAGCGTCCAAAATACCCAAGCATCATAGCTTCTGGCATATTAGCATTGGTCTCTGTGCTTGTCATAGCAATCATGTGCAGGAACATGTACTGCAGGAAGATGGCGCTTGCAAAGGATGATCTGAGCGATGTCGCTGATGTTGAAAAAGGTTGGCAAATATTATGCTAATTTATATATTTGTTTTGATATAAAAATTCTACTTAATCTACCACTGTAAGTAATGTTTAGTTCTTTCCATAAATCAAGTGTTTAAAAAACTAGGAATCCCCTAAAATTGCTAAAACTACTCAGTTATACTGACGTTATTACACCCAGCAAACAAATTTACCAACCATAAAATAAAAGAAAAACATATAGGCATGGCCACTATGTTTCTTATATTGTTTTTGAAACATAAATTCATTCATACATCTAGTTTTAGAGGAGGGAAAAGGAAAATATAAAATCATCATTCCATATTCGTATTTGAAAAGGACGAAGAGAGAACGAAATGTGAAATATGGGCAAATCAGGAATGTCCAGAACAGGTAAATGAAATTGTATACTTAGGGAGTGCTTTCAGCCGGGATGGAAGATGTGATTTAGATGTGGATAGGCGTGTCGCTGCTGGAAACAAAGTCAATGGTGCCCTGAATGCATTAGTCAAAAGGCAAGGCGTGGTGGAGAGTGCGCGCCTTGCAATACATAACGCAGTGTTGATACCGACTTTGTTATATGGCAGCGAACCCTGGGTATGCCAGAAGAAGCATAAAAGCAAGTTGAATGCAGTGGAGATGCGATCTCTTCGTAAAATGTGTGGCGTTACCATAGCCAATCGAAAGCGAAACGAAGAGATTCGCAATATGGAAGGATTGAAAGATGACCTTATCACAAAAATTGATAGGGGCGTACTCCAATGGTTTGGGCACGTTGAGCGAATGAGTGAAGACTGAATGGTGAAGAAAATATATAGAGCGAAAGTAAATATTAAAAGGTGTCGAGGTAGACCGAGACTAACTTTCGAAGACCATGTGAGCAAATTGCTCGAAGAGGGGAAGGTCAAGAGTACTCGGATGCCTAGACGTGCATGTATGAAGAAGTTAATGAACCTGAAAGAAGCGAAAGAGGTATGTAAGGATCGTGACACTCGGCGATCTGTTCTCTCTGACTACCCCGTTAGGGATTGTGCGTGAATATAAGTAAGTAAGTAAGTAAGTATTATTCCATATTCTCCTGTTCCTCAACCGTCAATTTTTCAGGTAGGTGTTATCAGTCCATTACAATGTATTTGTGGTGTGAGAGAGTATGTGTCGTAAGAGTAGACAGAGAAAACAAACCGGGCGATGGATAACAACCAGAAAATAAAACTGCGGCTGCCAACCTGCCAGACAAGTGTTGTAACTATGGCAAGTCTCCGTCTTATGAGACAATTGATAGAAAGGCCTATGTTCAGCCGTAGACTTTGATACGACTATAATCCATGAATGAATTAAGGAATGATCAGTCTGCGCTTCTGTATCTTTTAGCAGCTCAATCGTCAAGGCACAGTGTGGCCTCAATAGATTGTTATAATACTTTATCTAATTTTTTACAGTTCGAATATACCCCTCATTTTGTAATATTTTATTATTGTTTTTTACAGTTTATTGTTGGACAAAAACTATTTATTATAAGATCATAAGATTTAGGAACAATCAAAAAATTACGTCACACAATTTTATAATATTCTGATGTAATAAAAATTTCAATTCTGTGATTTTGTTCAGGGGATATCATGGGAACTGGACCTGACGCGCTGGCAAGCGGGTTGTTATGTGTCGATAATATTACACTTATTGAGCATATAGGTGAGAATTTTTCGTTTTTAATATAGTTTTTAAAGATGTGATAGCCGTGCTGCTACTATATTACAATTGACTTAAGGTAATCCGATGAATGTTTTGAAAGGCGTTGTTGGATTATCAAATTTGTTGGAATATAGAGTACTGCCACAGCCCTCTGGTAATTCTGAACTTTTTGAAAGAAACTACCTTGTATTCTCACAAATCACATATCAAATATAAAATAATAAAAAAATGAAATAGTCTTCTGATGGACAATGAATACTTAAACAGGAAATAATGTTAATTTTTATTTTTATTTTTCCATTTAAACTGAGGGAATATACGTCAAGCTAGATTTGTGGTGGCGCCAACTAGTTGCAACCTGTTTTTCCACGTATTCGCGAATTAAACCTCCCCCCGCGAGGGATTCATAACGCGGCTCAGTTGTACCTACCTACTCAATTGTACAATTTAAAGGCATGACGGATTACAAGAGGGGGGGGGGGTTAGCCAAGGGTTGGATACCGGGAGTCAACTGTAAAGTTGTAGCACGGTCAGCCCGATCGGCAAAGGACCACGCTCTCATGTATCTCGTTTCGTATGTTGAGTGTAGAGAACTAAAGACTTTTTTCTAGATACGAGGCATTCTTTCGTCATTCACCTAGACACATTTGTGTTGCAGCTATAACTGCAGTTTGAATTTACCACTATAATAAATAATCGTAATTCTTGTAAATATATATATAAAATCGGATCTCGGAAACGGCTTCAACGATTTTCATAATGTTTAGTGGCCAGGGGGTTTCGGGGGCAATAAATCGATCTAGCTAGGATTCATTTTTAGAATGAATGGCATGGCAATGAAAAATTGCTACAATATCGTTAGAATAAGAAGGTAATTTTTTACAGCGTGTTAATGATTATAATAGCTCAAATGGGCTATCGGTCGCTTATGAATTTGTAGTACCCTGGTTCGAGTCCTGTCTTCTTCTGTGTCCGACTTTTTAAAAAACTTTTTTTCAAGTTGCCTTCTTTTTTGAGAAAATCTATTATTTCGAGCCCTTTTTTTACTATTTTTTTAAAAACACGAAAATTTAAATTAAACTAATTGCACTCATATTTTATTCATTTTTTCTATTATGTCGGTAAGATCATAAAATATTATTCATATTTCATCAGTATGTAATTTGTATCTAAATATAGTTTCCAAACATACGATTATAAATAAAAATACCAAGCAAAGCTTGGTCAACCAGGTACTAAATGATATAATAACCGCTGTCAACAGTTATTATATATATAATGTAGATTGTTGTGCCTTATGTAGGACAAGGAAAGTTCGGGTCAGTGTGGAGAGGAACGTTGGGCGCCACTCCAGTAGCAGTAAAGCTGTACAACAACGCCACCGCATGGCAAAAGGAAGCTGCGGTATATGGGCTACCACATCTTGCACATCCAAACCTACTGCGATATTATGGTAAATTATTTTTAAGACACAGTAATATAGCCAATACTTTTTTGTTTTTTGTTGCGTTACGCGGAAATAGCCATGTTCTTACCATTTCCTACTATTATTCCTAATTCCGTTTTTTAAATTATTTCTAGTAACATCAAAGGTAGTTAACTTCACACTTCACATTCGACTCCTTTAAATTAGAACACAACAATTTGAAGCGACAGTAGTCTAATGGCAGGGCGCGGACCGCGAACTCAAAAAGGTCGTGGGTTCGAATCCGCCATTCGACTGCTGGCGTAACACAAGTAATTTAAGGTTACCACGAGTGGTTAAGGGGAATATTAGTAATGTTTATATTATAGCATTATTAAAATTCTTTAAAAAAAATGGATGCTTTGCTTCTTTACATTAGTGCCAACCCACGCCGGATTCTAATTTGCGAGAGCTGGAATTTTGTTTCTGCACTTTGAACATTTTACTATGTCAAATGTATCTAACCTTAAGATTGAAAATAATACTATGATCCCGGAATGGGAATAGGATTGGGTTTACAAATAACCTTCACTCCTTCTAAACGCTAATTTACCATCGTAAGGTATCATCATAAACTTATATTTCAAGGTAAACGCCACCTCAATCTTACCTCAGCGTTACCTCAAGGATTATTCAGCAGCAGTTACATTAACGGCTATGTGTAGTTTTATTCATGACCGTGAGTGACCATAATCATCTAAGAGACGACTGAGAGAAACGAACCAAGATATGAGTAGCAGCGTTTTTCAAATAACAACTAGAATATAAAAAGCTGTAATTGCCACTACGCCTGTCTAGCATGGAAACTATGCCAAAAATCAGTAAATTATGGCAGGCAATGTATAGGAAAGCAAGAAACCCAGCGAGACTTTTTTCTACCGTCACTGTAACAGCCTATCAAAAAGTCTAACATAGGCATCCCTATATCCGTATAGATTGGGTCATAGAGGTGATATTAAGGCTCGTAAAGCTGTTGGTATTTTTTTTTTGCGCCCGAAGCAAATATGGGCAACCCTCCGGAAAGCGGGGGAGGGAGGCGGTGAATGCTCATAGCATCTCATCTCATCTCATAGATAAACCACGCAGCCGGCTGCGTGGTTATGTGGAGACTTTTACCCACTAAACACCGCCTTTTAGGAATTGGCTTAACGATCTGTCTAGAGATCTCTAAGCCGTATACGAACGCGACCCTTCTTGGCAGAAAGGAGGGCGCAAGCGGTGAAAAGCCGCTTAGAAGAGTGCCTTACTAAGGCAGATTAAGGGATGTGTTATGTAGGCTCGGCCTGAGCCGCCAGGAGGTTCAGTACAGGTCAGCCGAAAGCTTGTTGGGGGGGTCCGAGAGAGAGTTTCTCGGTCTGCGCACACTATAGCGAGTGTGGATAGGGGCTGCATAGGCAGCTGTCTCACGAATGAGATGATTTGGGTGGGACTCTGAGGCTTTGAAAAATCTCTCAGAGAGTGATTTAAGAAACTGCTGGATTGTTGGGAGCTCTAAGTCTCGATGTAGGTCGGCATTACGGACATAATAGGGCGAGTTAGTGGCCCTACGACAGAAGCTGTTGGTACTGCATCTTTTTATTATATAGGGGAGGGGCAAACGAGCATACGGCTCACCTGATGGTAAGTGATTACCGCCGTCTATGAATAACTGCAACACAAGGGGAATTGCTGATGTGGTGCCGGCCTTTTAAAAAGGAATAGGCTCTTTCGTTGAAGGTGCTTAAGATGTATCGATCGTCTGATCTGTTTCTGGTCATGTCGGATGACTGTCCCATTCATTCCGTTTATTATTTTATTAGTTATTATTACGAAGTACTGCTGCCCATCTCCTGGTTCGTTTACCCTTGTTGATATCTGCGGGTAGATAACAGGGTAGTGGGTATTCTTACACCGCCACTACACGGTAGGTTTTTTCCATGAAGCGTACATTCAACGTAGATCTTTTAAACGTGAATGACGTGCATCTTGTAGCTACGACTTTTTCTACTTAATTTTATAGACCTACAAAATAACTTTTTTTATAATTCAGGAATAGTTTCATCACGTTCATCTCATTCATAATACAAATCCAAGCATCATTAATGTTTTTTTTGTCCTTGTGAAGCTGATTTCTAGGATCCCATATCACAGGTTCTCCTTGATAAATTTCTTTAAATTTAATAATGGATTCGTTACTTCTAGCTATCAAAGTAGGTAGGTATTTCTTTAAATTACTTCATAAGAAAAATAATAACCACCTGCGACAAAGTTCACGGGTCAAATGAATAATGACGAGTATGTAAAGACTGATAGAATACACACGGACATACTTGTGTTAAGAAACCGACATCTAGTGAAGAAGGGCGAAGTTCGAACTACTCGGGCCGACTAACGAGCACACTCGAACAAGTTCGTACTAGCAGGGCTCTATCACTCTTGCTACATGCTTGAAATAGTTACTTACAATCGCGAGACGGCACAGGCCAGGCTGCATACGCAGTCGGCCTAGCGCGTTTTAGGTAGAGATGGGTCGTACTTGCAAAATCGAGTACTAGGGCTTGCAAGTACGTCCACCTTTAAATACCAGCGCCAAAAACCAGGGCTTGAGATACTTTCAAGTATTTTCTTTCTGCGTCGAAAATTGATCCGTAAGAACGTATAAATAAGGAGTGCAATCGCATATTATGCTAAAATAGTAAACTTTCAAGCCTTGATGGAACAAAAATACTTGCGTAGAATATTGATCTGTAACTATATACAAATAAAGAGCACAATCAGGTTTACAAAAAATACTTCCAAACCTTTAAAAGTTCCAACTTTCAAGACTTGTTGTAAGAAAAATACTTGCATAGAACATTGATCCGCAACCATATACAAATAAAGAGCATCATGGCGTTTACAAAAAAAAAATACTTCCAAACCTTTAAAAGTTCCAACTTTCAAGACTGGTAAGAAAAATACTTGCATTCAATATTGATCTGTAACCATATACAAAAAAAAATACTTCCAAACCCTTTAAAGTAAATATACCTTTTTAGAACATTGATACGTAACAAAATATAAATAAGGAGCAGAATCGCGTAGAGTGTCGACAGAGCGAGAATACTCAAATACTTTGAAGTCTTGCGAGTATTTTGGGTCGGCACTTGGTCGGCGCACTTGCTTGTAAATACCTGGTATAAAAATCTGGTCGCGTAAATACGCACCTTCCCTATTTTTAGGCGATTGAATGTTAAAGTTTTAACGCTTCTTTAATAGTTTTTTTGTAAATACTTGTTGAAATAGTTTTTATTGCGTGTTTAGTATATTTAATTGTAGGATAAAATAGTTGAAAGAGTTTTAATGTAATTTAAATATGTACGACATTGTGCCATTATAGTTTGATAAATTATAATGGCACAACGTCGTTCCTATTATAATTATATCGTGGATGGATGCTTAATGACCAACTAAAGGTTTCAGATATATGATTGTTTAAGTTACCGGAGGATTTTAGTAGGAAGTTATAAGGTGAATTTTTTTTTGTTAGATAGTTACTTATAGTAAAAATATTATGTAATAATTTAACTACAGAAGTAATATCACAGTACTTTATCACAAAACGTAGTTAAAATTTACTTCACTATTCAAATCTACTTACGCAGCGATAAAGTTTTATTAAACTTGCTAAAATAACTATGTAGGCTATTAAAACTTCGACAAACAGTTAACACTTCTGTGCGTAGTACTATTATTTATTCTGTGGTACTGGTGACATTTCGTCTGTGCTTGGCGAGTATAACGTACCATAAAATAGGTTGTACATTTAGAACTCTCTAATAAACGGCTAGAATGCGATCACCTTGGATCACGCTATATTTGTGTGGTGCGCGCAGGCAGTGAGGCGCGCGCGCCGCTGACGGGAGGTGGTACGGGTGGCGCGGGGTGCGCTGCACGCGAGCGTCTGCTGGTGCTGGAGCTGTGCGCAGGCTCGCTGCGCGCGCGGTTGGAGCGCGCGCCGCTCACGTGGCTAGAGTTCGCTACGCTCGCGCACGGCCTGGCCGCCGCGCTTGCGCACCTGCACACCGCCAGTGAGAACACACTTTATAATAGCCTACTTAAAAAACGCGCCCTCAGTGGACTTTAATTATCCACTTACCAGACGTTGCTAGCTGTGAACTTAAGTGAAATTATTTGTTACACAATATCGTCATTGAAAAGTTGCGATTTAATTACAAGTTTTTCGTTTTGTAATGTATGTAGTGTACACAATACCTCAGTGCTGTATTCTATAATTTTTTACACATTTTTAACTTTTTTAAATTCTTCTACGTTTAAGTATACTCGTTCATGTTTTTTGTTTATATCATTGAGTGACAAACGAGCACACAGTCCACCTGATGGCAAGTGGATGCTGTGGCACATAGACACTTACATTAATCCTATATTAAGACTCAAAACGCAAATGCGTTAATCACCCCTGAGAACTATGATGGAATGCCTTGATTCTTGGAATGGAATCCCTTGAAAAGGGTCTCCGGTTCTGTACACTCACCATACGAAAAACAACAGCATTATGCTGCTATTTTACGCTGGTATTCTGTGAGAGCGTGGTCCTACCCCGATTGAGCCCACCCATTCGTGCTACAACTATAATATAGCTACAGCGTGGATCTACCACATACAAAAACTCCTCATTCTACTCATGTTTTTGTTTTGTTTAATAAAACTGAATGTACATTAAGAAATTGTATTATTGCAAAAAGACACTTTACCTGGTGCCAATCTGCAGCATGGCTGCATCAGGCATGATTGTAAAAAAAATGATTTGGCTCGACCTGGAAAGAACCACGCTCTCACAAAATACCAGTATAAAATATCGTAGCCAAAGCGAAAAAAACCAAACACCAATTTAATGCTGCTGTGTTTCTTATGGTGAGAGTAGAGGATTTTTACTAGAAACAAGACATTCCATCTTACTCAAAGGTGACAACGCATAATATTTATTTTGATTTTATATCAAGGATAGAGGTCTGTTGGTGACAAAATCCACTTACCATTGGATGGACACTGTACTCGTTGGTCACCCTTATTCTAAAATAAAGATACCCTTCTTGTCATGAACACAGTATGCTTTACACCAGGGATTGAATAACCGAAAAAATTATGGTACAGACGATAAGCGGTATGACGTCAAACCTTTAAATTTCGATACCTTAAAATAAAGGTACCTTTAAATTACTATACCTTAAAGTAACTGTACCATTACTTTTTCAAGTATCTAAATTATAAAATAAAGGTATAATGTATAAACAAAGAAATTGTACGCCGACGCTCGCGCCAAGGCTTCACGCAGTGTCGGCCGCATTGGTAAGAGAGTAGGTACTTGATCGAAAATTTACGGATATTCGTGTCTCGGCAGCTAAACAAAGTAGATTGTTTTGCCATTTTGCCGCCATTCATGTTTCTGCGTATACTTTGATTGTCAACTTAATCACAAGTGTGCTTTTTTAATTTATTTTATGTACACACATTAAGATACAGAAGCAGTCTTATAGTAATTTTGTACAAAGGTTCTACTTATTCCAAATTAGCTGAAATATCCTCCAGTGGACCCATAAAGGAAATTATATTGAAATTGCAAACTTAGTGCATACATTAGTACTACTAAAAATAAATAATATACACAATGTTACGTAAATTATATAAAATAAAACAATAAATAAAAATAAAATAAATCAATAAATAATAATAATAATAAATAAGATAGTTACATATGATATACATAAACTAAAACTAATATAATAGAATAATATACAACGTGTCCCAAAATTCAACTATAAGCCAACACCGGAGGATAGACCTGCCCCGGACTAATCGGGGAAAAAAAGAAAAAAATATATATCCCAATTATATTTTAAGTTAAAAAAAAAAATGAAATTCTTCAGAAATTGAGACCGTTTATGATATTTTTCACTACCATGACCACAATTTTTTTAATATTTTTTTTTCTTTTTTTTTATAGGCAACCTGAATAGTACTGCTATCTACCACAATTCTTAAAAACTCCAGAATAACTCTTGTTTTATCACGAAAATTAATGAAACTTATTTTATTCCCTAAATTTTTTGAAGACTTTTACTTTTAACCAAATTTAACTTATCGTGGTGTAAAAAAAAAGTATGAACACTAGTATGGCAAGTATTTTTAAAAATTGACGCAACTAACCAACTTTCTAAAATAGTATAATACTCTAGGAAAACAAGTTATAAAAAATATGGGTCTATTATTTCTAAACAAATTCCTTAAATTGTAATTGTCAGTAATCACTTTTACTACATGCCCAAAATGGGTTCCTGTTACAATTTCTAGGAATATGAATGGGGCATTAATACCTTAGATGTTAGAGAGAGATAGATAGATAGAGATATTTACGTTAAAAAGAGACAACAACAGGGCAGGTAGAGAAGCTGTTATTATTCTCAGCAAGTCAGTTCAGTACGCTCTGCTCCTTTGTTTACTGCGCACTGTTCCCAATTCAACTTACGTGGCTCTCGTACATACTATCAACTTTTGGCTTGGCTTTTTGGACTGGAATCGTCCTGCAAACTTAACTGACCTGGCATTATTTGGACTGGAAGTGATCTGCAAACTGAACTGACCTGGCATTATCTAGGACAATGATTGTGTGTTTTGTGATTTAGAGTTCTGGCTCACTTTGGACTGTTTGGCGTTTAACATGCCGCAACCGTACGCAGAGGAATACGCTAATATGCATTTAATATATGGAGAATGCCGATGTAATGCTAACGCTGCTAGCAGACTGTATCGAGAAAGATACCCAAATGTTCAAAAATATCCTGATTATCGAGTGTTTATTAATGTGCATCAAGCGTTTTCGGAGGGTCGTATGCCATCCAATAGGAGAAGCGCTGGAGGACCTAGATTGGATCGTGATGAAGAAGTTCTCAATGAGATAGAAAATGACTCGACTACTTCGGTACGTGCCATAGAAGAAGCTACAGGAATCCCGAAAGTTCTGCACATCGAATATTAAAACGTCACAAGCTTCACCCATATCACTACAGGCGTGTGCAGGCGTTATTACCGCGGCACTATCCGCTACGAGTCACATTTTTCCGTGTAATGCTGCAAAGGCACAGTGAAGATCCCCACTTCCTGGACAAAATTCTATGGTCGGATGAAACAACGTGCAAGAAAGATGGGTATTTAAATCTTCACAACCTACATAGTTGGAGTAATGAAAATCCACACTTGATGAGACAAGACAAATCCCAATATCAATTCAAGGTTAACCTATGGACCGGCATTAAATGGAAAAGTAATTGGGCCCTTTGAGTTACAAGGAAACTTAGGTGGCAATAGTTATTTAAACTTTTTACAAAATGACTTGCAAGAATTGTTAAACGACGTGCCCTTAAGTGATCTTCAAAACATGTGGTTCCAAAATGATGGTTGCCCAGCACATTATGCCCGTCCCGTGCGAGAATATTTAAATCAAGAGTATCCAGGGCGTTGGATCGGGCGACTTGGTCCTATCTTATGGCCACCCCGTTCACCCGATTTGAACCCCCTGGACTTCTTCTATTGGGGTTGTCTTAAAAACAGGGTCTACTCAAAACCCATTGCGACATTGGACGAGCTTCGTCGAAATATCACTCAGGCTGCTGATTACATTAATAGCAGAAGATATGCAAGACAAATAAAACGATCATTTTTAAGGCGATGTCGTGCATGTATTAATGCTGGTGGCAAACAGTTCGAACATTTGCTATAATGTTAATAACATAATAAATTACACGTGAAACTGTTTGTACCATTTGTTTTGAAATTGTAGCGGCGCTGTCGTCGCGCCACTAGCACACCGAAACACACCGAAGCCTAAATCACGCTATCAACATTCCGAATCATGAACAGTATATATAGAACATCTCCGAACTATCACATGGAGCGTTGGCCGCTCCCCGGGCAGAACACCCTGCCCGGCGGGAGATCTCTTCTTTTCCTACCACGGCGACAGTGGTGAATACCCAACATGATCTGAACACGCAGCTAACTACCTTCGGAAACTTCAAGCTTCATCATCGTCATATATAGTACCCCATTTGTTCCGGAGCAAATATCGTCAGCAGTCTTCATATCTTGCAAGCCATCTAGCTTCACAAGGTTCATCGCAGCACTGGAATAATAATGCTTCCTGTTCCTTCAAGGTACTCTCTGCGCTATACAGTGTTCGGCACGGCTCTGAGCCTTACTGCTCTACTCTGCTTCACGGCACTCTCGCAGATTACTTGCCTTCTTCTCGACTCACCGCAGACTACAAGGCAATCTCCTGGCACTTGCACATTCGTCGGCAACGAGGCTGCACTATCGACCTCCGGTCTGAGCAGGGGGGTGATGTAACAGCGCTGTCGTCGCGCCACTAGCACACCGAAACACACCGAAGCCTAAATCACGCTATCAACGTTCCGAATCATGAACAGTATATATAGAACATCTCCGAACTATCACACGGAGCCTTGGCCGCTCCCCGGGCACAACACCTTGCCCGGCGGGTGATCTCCCCTTTTCCATCTATGGTCACAAAATATTAAACATTTTTCAAGAACTAATACTTTTATTACACCCGACCGTCATTTGGCACCTGTTAAGAAATAATAAGCTCATATTTTTTTATAACTTGTTTTCCTAGAGTATTATACCATTTTGGAAAGTTGGTTAGTTGCGTCAATTTTTAAAAACACTTGCCATACTAGTGTTCATACTTTTTTTTTACACCACGATAAGTTAAATTTGGTTAAAAGTAAAAGTCTTCAAAAAATTTAGGGAACAAAATAAGTTTCATTAATTTTCGTGATAAAACAAGGGTTATTCTGGAGTTTTTAAGAATTGTGGTGGATAGCAGTACTATTCAGGTTGCCTATAAAAAAATTAAAAAAATTGTGGTCATGGTAGTGAAAAATATCATAAACGGTTTCAATTTCTGAAGAATTTCATTTTTTTATATAACTTAAAATATAATTGGGATATATTTTTTTCTTTTTTTTCCCCGATTAGTCCGGGGCAGGTCTATCCTCCGGTGTTGGCTTATCGTTGAATTTTGGGACACGTTGTATTAAATTAACAGGATGGAAAGTAGTTATCTTTAAGACGTTTCTTGAATACCAACAAACTTTCGGAATTTCTTATATTTGACGGTAGTGAGTTCCATAATCTTACCGCGTGAACTGTTTGTTATAATGTGTGCTTTGTTATAACTTTACAATTAGATTGTCGTAAAGATGGATAAAAGTAGGTACAAACTCATTAAGCATTTCTTGACGATATTATACAACTTTGTATATCTTTATACTTTTTTAGATTGAGGCCGAACGAACGTAATTTTTCGAGTTGTGAGTGATAATATGATTGAATATGATTTATTTCAGAACCAGTCATCATGTGTCAGAATAAGCACCATCATTCCCTAGATATTTTTGTGAATTCGGAACGACCAAGGACTCCTTCTGCTCTACACCCTAAAGTAGAGTCGTAATTTCACGAACGCTGCCCAGTCGAGTTGAAATCTCCTGAAGACCTCTCGGTCGAAGTTAGACTTACCTGGTCGGACTATTTGTCCCAGGCAAACGTACTCGTCAACAACTTCGAGCTTAGTGCTCCCAACAACAACCAGCATAGGCGTGACATGAACATTACACATGATCTTTGTTTTGTCCATGTTCATCTTAAAACTAATACGTTGGGATACACTATTGAGATCATTGAGTATATTGCTTAGATCCTCCAGCGATTCCACCATAAAGACTATATCGTCGGCAAATCGAATGTGAGTAATGTACTCGCCATTGGTGTTAATACCTTTCCAATTCAGTAGCTTGAAAACATCTTCCAATGCGGCGGTGAAGAGTATGGGTGATATAACGTCAACCTGTCTTACACCTCTCTGCAGTTGAATATGATTCGTAATGACTCGAAAACAGCACTTAGCATCGTAGCCCTACTGTACAAACATTTCAGCACTTCGATATACCGACAGTCAACTTGGCACCGCTGAAGGGACTGTAGCACCGCCCAAATTTCGACGGAATCAAGTGCTTTCTCATATACGGTTACGGTTGTTACCGGTTGGCGGTATACGCCAGGTAAAGTGGCAGATTGTACTCTTCGGTCTTCCGTACAATCTGCCGCAGGGTATGTATGTGATCTATGGTACTGAAGCCTTTTCGGAAACCGGCTTTTTCGGGAGGCTGGGAGTCGTCGAGTCTGCGTGCGAGACGATTCGTAATGACTCTCGAAAACGGCACGCAGACGCGGCTCAGAAGGGAAATCGGTCTGTAGTTCTTCAAGAGAGCGTAATCGCCTTTCTTCAAAAACAAGAGCACTGCACTTCTGCATCAAGCCTCCGAGTAGTGCCACCATGAAGGACGAAATTGAAGAGATTTTGAAGGACTTTAAGTACCGGGTTTCCACCCGCTTTCAAAAACTCCGCTGTAATTCAATCTTCACCTGGGGAATTGCCGTTTTAACGTGATAGAGAGCCTTCTTTTCTTGCTCAGACTGACTTTCAGGATATCATCGGAATAGTGTCGGATTAGACTTGCTCTTGAATCGTTACTTACACTTGCGTGTGGCTCCAACGATAATGTGTTCAGCAGCTCATAGAAACTCTCAATCTCACTCAAAATCTCAGCTGTCCCGGAAACGGTATTGCCACACTCATTCTTCAAAGACTTTGGAGCCCTGGTTCCATTCGATCGCTTCTTCAATACGAACAATATTAAAGTTGCGTAAGTCTCGCCGCATGCATTTGGAGATCTGTCTGTTCAGTTGCCTGTATGCTGTCAAATCTGTTGACGATTGCAGCCTCATCTACCGTCTAACAGCCATGAGATTAAGAGTGTGATCGGAGAGTTTTTGTGTTCTTCTGCGGCGGGTCTTGCAGAACTTAGCTGCTCACAGCTCCGACCGCATGGACAGTTTCCACGAGCTTGTCATTCATATCGTCCACTGCATTGCAATCTTCTAGGCACTGAAAGCGGTGACGTAACTCGAGTTGAAAGGTTTCGGGATTCTGGATTAGAGCACGAGGGGGACAGAGCGTTGACTTCTTTAGACGAGACCTTTTCAACTTAACGTTTAGGTTCAGTGTACCTTTAACCATTCGGTGATCACTGTCAGTTTTCATCCTTGCGATCAGTGAGACATCACTGAACAGTTACCGTCTCGTCTTCATAATAAAGTCAATCTCATTTTTTTTATCGTACTGTCGGGCCTCGACCAGGTCCACTTTCTGTGGAGCCGTTTCAGGAAAAGAGTTCATTATAAACAGTCCCTCCTTCTCCATGAAGTCGGCCAGCTGCTGGCCGCTTGTGTTCCGTTGCCCTAACCCAAATTTACCTATCGTCAGCTCACCTTTCTTCCTTTTGCTTAGTTTTGCGTTGAAGTCTCCCATTAACACCGTATAGTGGTTTTTATAAGAATGCATGGCTCTAGAAATATCATAGAGAATACCTAAAAATGTAATAGATGTTGGTGCGTAGTCCTGTATGACCTTGGATACCGTTTGGTGATTTTGAATATGAGGTACGCATCCTTCGTCGACACACTACCAATCTTTACAAGGTTGTTAACGAGAGACTTGTGGACTATAAATCCAACACCTCCTTGGGACAGATGGTCGCCCTCCCGGTGATAGAACAAGCTGCCGGATTCAAGAATCACCGTGTCCTCCTCCTCTCTTCGGACCGCGGATGATCCTTTAATATTCAAGCGCTACTTGTCTATCTCTTCTTCCAGCTCCAGGATCTTCTTGGAAGTCCTCAGGGTGCGTCCGTTGTTTGTTGCCAAGTCGAATCGTCTTAGGTGGCAATCGACCCTTCACCGGAGATTCTTAGCACCCCTATCCCGCCTTTACCATGTTCGCCACCTAGCCAGGAATAGCGCGGCCGCCGTGGAACTGGGGGCCGTTTACTTGTGTCGTTGCTCGTGGGGGTTATTTCCATAGTTGCCACGCTTTACGAGTGGGTTGGCAACTGCAGTTTTTTTTGTTGTACAATTGATGTTATAAGGAAGATGCTGCTGCCCATAACATAGAAAATCCAAATCGAATGAGTCTCATAACGTTAAGCAAGGTCCGAGACACAATACATATAAATAAGCCTAAAATACTCATTTTTTCGAAATTATTTCGGTAAAGGTATTAGTAAAATATAGGTATAACGATACCGTAAAAAATATAGGTATAATTCTTTTTTTAACGGTACCACAACCGTAATTCTCAACCGTTTTGGTTCTACCTTTAAATCGAAGCTGTATCGTAATTCTATACCGGTACCATACCCTTATACCTTTACCGCTTTCAACCCCTGCTTTACACTAGTATCATGTTCTTATTGAACTTTTACTTGTATGTTACGCGATATTGTCACATTGTAATTGAAGAAGTCAATTATTAACTGATTTTAATTATACATCAAAGGTACTCGGAACATGATGAATTTTGAAAGAAACTTTATAAACAACATTTTAGTTGTAATTTTGTGCTTGAGATATTCCAAATTAACGTTTTAATAAAAAATAAATGTCGACAAAACTGTTAAAAACGAAATAAATTCCATGTAGTAGTTCACTAGGCACTGCCGGAAAGTTTGATTTTTTTCATTTAATGTGACTTTAACTACAAGAAATTGCAGCTATTCTATGACTGCGGCATGAATAGATTCGTCTGGAGAGGAACATCAGTTATCATTATTCGCAAGCGCTTCACAAGTCCACTGCTGAACATTGGCTTCCCTCAAGAAATGCCACAAAGCACCGTCCTGAGCCACCTGCATCCAACGGCTTCTTGCATATCTTACCAGGTCGTCACTCCATCTCGTGTGGGAATGCCCTACACTTTCCTCTTCTTTTATAAATCTCTTTCTTTTAGAATCTTTCCTCACCATCGGTTGTGGGTTCTTCGAGCTATATGGCCGGTCAATTACCCCTTCAGCTTACTAATCCATTGGTCTATATCGGTTAGTCTGGTTCTGCGGATATCCTCATTTTTATGTCTATTGCCGCCGTGGTAGCTCAGATGGTTAACGCTCGCTGTAAATATAACAGAACGCGAGTAACCCGGGTTCGAGCTCCGCCGGCACTAATGAAATTGTTAATTGCAATTTTAAGTGCTGATTTACCACGTGCTCGGCGGTGAAGGAAAACATCGTGAGGAAACCTGCATGTCTGAGGATAAAGAAAAAAAAAATATTTCGAAGACATGTGAAGTTCGCCAACACGCATTGGGGCAGCGCGGCGGACACTTCCTTGCCCTAAAAACCCCCTCAGAAATGAGGGGAGGCCTGTGCCCAGCAGTGGGACGTATATAGGCTGTAACTTTACTTTAAGTCTATTGCACGGATAAATCCCGAGCATAGGGCTCTCCATAGCTCGCCGAGTGACCTTGAGCTTCCTCATACGGCCAGCAGCACTGGTTATACAATTTTGTTTTGAAGTTTGAAGCATACCTGAGCAATGGATCCCTAGAAATGAAACCCGCTTGTTAAATACTGGCCTAATAGTAGCATACCTATAAGGTGAATGAAGAGAATCGGAATATTTTTTACTGCTTGACTGAACAAGTCGTCTCAACTGTAAATGTCAAATATTTTTTTTTATTTGTTTAATAATCGTTTAACTTCACAGCGGGTAATAAGCCGTGTGTGGTGCACCGTGACGTGAACAGCAACAACGTCTTGATTGCGGCCGATGGACGAGCCCGCCTCGCCGACCTGGGCTTGGCGCAACCCTTGACGCCGCGCCGTGACCGGACCACGCCCAGCAGGATCACAGAGGTGAGAGCCTACCCCCACATTGAAATGCACTTGACTCAAGAATTATCCTTTTCTACAATACTTCTTATGTCTTAGATTCGAACTCGCAGCATTTCAGCGATGCTGCTAAACAATTAACCATCAAAAAAAGTGCCTACTCTTTTTTAAAAGTTTGGCAACACACACCTGCAATTCTCCTAGTGTTGCAGTTATTCATAGGAGCCGGCAGCAGGCAGTCATTCACTGATGGTGAACCGAATGCTCTTTTGCCCACTCTTTTATAAAAAAAAAATGCTTCGGGGGAGCCCCGTTAAGAACGAAGTTCCTCATGTTATTTTTCAAACTTCAAATGTGATTTAATATGTAGATTTCTATTGACTACTATTTTTTTAAATATATATTGTTATAAATTTTTTGCCGGACGGGCGAAACTCTTCGGAGTTAATGTTGTCGAAGATACTTCGCGAGTCGCTCACGTTCTACACCTATAGGTTCCGGTGGGTAATTCCACTGCCGTCTTTGTGGGTGCCGCTGAGATATTGTGGACTGAGGTTCAAATCAAAATGCACGATTTATAAATACAAATAGCAAGGTAGTGGCCAGCGGTTCGTCTGATTGATTAGTCGCGAAATTTTATAATTATTGTTAATTGATCACGGTTGTTCAACTACGGTTGTTCACTATTGGTTGGTCACTGTATATTTTAAAAGATTTCTTTAAATTGTAGGGTAGTATCAAATATCTATTGTTAGTAGCTGGTTTTCTAACACTACTGACTAGCAGCTATTATCAACTAAACTAGCTGATTTTATCACTTGTGTAACTGCGGATATCAGTTACCACTTTCACTATATGTAACTGTGAATATCAGTTACGACCTTTTTCGGCTAGCTAACACTTTCACTATATGTAACTGCGAATATCAGTTACGACCTTTTTCGGCTAGCTAACACTTTCACTACATGTAACTGCGAATATCAGTTACGACCTTTTTCGGCTAGCTAACACTTTCACTATATGTAACTGCGAATGTCAGTTACGACCTTTTTCGGCTAGCTAACACTTTCACTATTCACTATATACTGCTACTAGTCACTTCAGCTACTACCAGATACTACTGCTTGTCACTGGTAGTTCTTCACACTACTACTACTACTGGGTCCCGAGCCCCTAAGGTAAACTTTGGCTATACCTTACAGTGAGCCGCTTGCCATTTTCCGTTTTGCCTCTTTATTGCATAAACTTTTCACTATGCAAATGGCATAAATTACAATATTTTCTATACAAAACTAATTGCTACACTAACATGCTATACATTATCAAATCGGTAGTCTGATACTTTATTAGTATATCATAAAGGTTACTCAAAATATTAACATTGTAAAAAGTTATTAAACGAAATGTCCCAAATTTTCATAATATTTGGGTACATTAATTCTTTGATTTGTCTATAACTACCAAATGCGTTAAATTATACAAAATATTCCTACACTTGCTTAATCTATAAGCCATATGCTAATTCAATGTCATATTTACAATTTTTTAGAACATAAAATTATTTTCATTATTTTTAGTATGAACTATTACGCAGTTAATTAAAAACTTCTAGAGAGTTCTACGATAAGACGCGCTGCGATTGGTCGATTGTTCTTAAATAAAAGTTGTTTACATCACTTGTTATCAAAACGACATTCTATACAAATATACTAAGAGTTATAAACATGCTACACAACTATATCAATACACGTTTTCACCCAGTTTTGTCGGTAATTTCACTATTAATACAAAAAACAATATTCTTTATCACTTTGTTTCTTAGCGTTGTTAGGCCGTCGCGAACAAATTTTATTATAAATTGATTATATTAATCTCAATACGCGCAGGAACACACGCCCACATACAATCGTATATAATAAAAGAGACAGACATAAAAACAAAAACAGGGAAAGTTCGCGTGGACATAATTCTTTTCTTTACTTGACAATTGCTGCCAGTTCATTTCACTGTAAGCCACATAAAAGAATTTCGTTCTAAAAACTCGTCAAATTGGTTGTAATTACGGTAGCAAAAGTGAGCCGTAATACCCAATTCTCGATATTGAGACATATCATTTTGTTTTCTTCTTTTTTACTATTCTCAGAAAATGCTTAACTATTATCCCATCTGATGGTAAGTCTTTAAAAAAATTAAACCATTTGAATATTATAATTTAAGACAGTACGGTCTAATTCTTGTTGTTGTGAACACATTTGATACTGATAGTTGATTTAAATTAATCCACAGGCGGGAACTCTGCGATATCTGTCCCCTGAAGCACTAGAGGGCGCGTTGGACTTGAGCGGAGCACGTGCAGCGCTGTGTGCAGTGGACGTGTTTGCGTTGGCGCTGGTGCTGTGGGAGATGCTGTGGCGCTGTGCCGGCGCGCACCCGTGCCGCACGCCGCCCTACGCGCTGCCCTACCATCACCTGGGTCTGCCGCCGCAGCCCACGCTGGCGCAGATGCAGGTGAGTGGCCGCGTTGTACTAATATCATTGTTGTACGTCACTGTGTAGCGTTGCAACCGCATCCAGCGCACTTATGTGCTCCTGGTACATTGCGAATATTTCGCATACACGAGATAAAATGTAAAAAAGAGGGGAGGAGTAGAGGCAAAGGGCGACTACAACCCCAGGGCACCTAGGCCTGCCGCCGCAGCCCACGCTGGCACAGATGCAGGTGAGGCGACCGCGTTATACTAATATCATTGTTGTACGTCACTGTGTAGCGTTGCAACCGCATCCAGCGCACTTATGTGCTCCTGGTACATTGCGAATATTTCGCCTACACGAGATAAAATGTAAAAAGAGGGGAGGAGTAGAGGCAAAAAGCGACTACAACCCCAGGGCACCTAGGCCTGCCGCCGCAGCCCACGCTGGCACAGATGCAGGTGAGGCGACCGCGTTATACTAATATCATTGTTGTACGTCACTGTGTAGCGTTGCAACCGCATCCAGCGCACTTATGTGCTCCTGGTACATTGCGAATATTTCGCCTACACGAGATAAAATGTAAAAAGAGGGGAGGAGTAGAGGCAAAGGGCGACTACAACCCCAGGGCACCTAGGCCTGCCGCCGCAGCCCACGCTGGCACAGATGCAGGTGAGGCGACCGCGTTATACTAATATCATTGTTGTACGTCACTGTGTAGCGTTGCAACCGCATCCAGCGCACTTATGTGCTCCTGGTACATTGCGAATATTTCGCCTACACGAGATAAAATGTAAAAAGGAGGGAGGAGTAGAGGCAAAGGGCGACTACAACCCCAGGGCACCTAGGCCTGCCGCCGCAGCCCACGCTGGCACAGATGCAGGTGAGGCGACCGCGTTATACTAATATCATTGTTGTACGTCACTGTGTAGCGTTGCAACCGCATCCAGCGCACTTATGTGCTCCTGGTACATTGCGAATATTTCGCCTACACGAGATAAAATGTAAAAAGAGAGGAGGAGTAGAGGCAAAGAGCGACTACAACCCCAGGGCACCTAGGCCTGCCGCCGCAGCCCACGCTGGCACAGATGCAGGTGAGGCGACCGCGTTATACTAATATCATTGTTGTACGTCACTGTGTAGCGTTGCAACCGCATCCAGCGCACTTATGTGCTCCTGGTACATTGCGAATATTTCGCCTACACGAGATAAAATGTAAAAAGAGGGGGAGGAGTAGAGGCAAAAGGCGACTACAACCCCAGGGCACCTAGGCCTGCCGCCGCAGCCCACGCTGGCACAGATGCAGGTGAGGCGACCGCGTTATACTAATATCATTGTTGTACGTCACTGTGTAGCGTTGCAACCGCATCCAGCGCACTTATGTGCTCCTGGTACATTGCGAATATTTCGCCTACACGAGATAAAATGTAAAAAGAGGGGAGGAGTAGAGGCAAAAAGCGACTACAACCCCAGGGCACCTAGGCCTGCCGCCGCAGCCCACGCTGGCACAGATGCAGGTGAGGCGACCGCGTTATACTAATATCATTGTTGTACGTCACTGTGTAGCGTTGCAACCGCATCCAGCGCACTTATGTGCTCCTGGTACATTGCGAATATTTCGCCTACACGAGATAAAATGTAAAAAGAGGGGAGGAGTAGAGGCAAAGGGCGACTACAACCCCAGGGCACCTAGGCCTGCCGCCGCAGCCCACGCTGGCACAGATGCAGGTGAGGCGACCGCGTTATACTAATATCATTGTTGTACGTCACTGTGTAGCGTTGCAACCGCATCCAGCGCACTTATGTGCTCCTGGTACATTGCGAATATTTCGCCTACACGAGATAAAATGTAAAAAGAGGGGAGGAGTAGAGGCAAAGGGCGACTACAACCCCAGGGCACCTAGGCCTGCCGCCGCAGCCCACGCTGGCACAGATGCAGGTGAGGCGACCGCGTTATACTAATATCATTGTTGTAAGTCACTGTGTAGCGTTGCAACCGTATCCAGCGCACTTATGTGCTCCTGGTACATTGCGAATATTTCGCCTACACGAGATAAAATGTAAAAAGAGGGGAGGAGTAGAGGCAAAGGGCGACTACAACCCCAGGGCACCTAGGCCTGCCGCCGCAGCCCACGCTGGCACAGATGCTGGTGAGCAAGCGCGTTGTACTAACACCATTAATGTATGTGATGTTGTGGCGCTGCGAACGCAACCTACAACGTAACCAGACCGAACAGGTGATACGAAGCGTTGTACTAATACCGCTACTGTGACGTGACACTTCGACCAGATGTTCCAGCGCATTCATATGCTCCTGTTACATTGAGAATATGACTCCTCCACGTGACGGAGTTTGGGAAAAGGAGAGCAACATATAGCATTACATGGTCAATCAAGACTAATGATTTATCTATGCATTAGTCCGAGCGAATACATCTTTGTGACTTTGCGCTATGGATTTATTGAACAATAAAAAGCTTGTGCAGTGCTATGTTATTCGTCTTAACTATTAAGAAAAAGAATGTGGTGGTGTAAACAGTGGTTACTAAAAAATACACTGCTGTTCTTTTTTATCGAAACGATATATTATTCCAGTGGTTCTAGATTCAATTATATTTAATCGGTTTATATGCTTGTATTTTTTATCTAAATATAAATCATAATAACATGTTCTAGATATGTTACTTAAATGTCTGTGACACAGAGTCTAGTCTCCCGTAACAAGGCAAGACCACCACTTCCCAAAGGACCCGTACCTGAAGTCCGCGCACTAAAGATCGCTACCGACACATGTGACGAGTGCTGGGATCATGATGCTGAAGCAAGGTAAATTTGTCGTTTGTTTTTTGACTGAAACGGGCAATGTTTTGATGGGTAGACACTATTCTCTTATTTATGCCTCTGCTGTTACCGTTACTGTGACAGCCTATTAAAGTCCACTGCTGAACAAAAGCCTCCCCCATGGATTGCCTCATGGAGAGGATCTTTGCCATAGTTGCCATGCTTGGTATGCGAGTTGGAAACTGCAGTATTTTTTTATTTTTAGTCGTTATTAGGAATACGCTTCTGCCCATCTCCTGATTTGTTTCCCTCTGTGGCCTGTTATGACACCCTCGGGATCGTATGGGATAGTGGATATTCTTACACCGCCACCACACGTTGGTGTAATATTTATTGTTTTCTTAGAATTTAGAGATTCACAGCAATCAAGGAAGGAATTTTGAATCTCAAATATTCCAGGAAACTTGCCGAGTTATGGGTGCTCATAAAACAAGAACGACTTCTTATCAACCGCAATCTGATGGAATGGCAGAACGATTTATTCAGACATTGGAGAGGTACCTAGCAAAAGTTGTAGACAATCGGCAACGAGATTACACATACAACCGTTTTTGTTGTCATATCGAAGTGCTGTTCACGAAAGTACATCAGTGACACCAGCTTTCGCAAACTTTGGAAGAGAATTACGGCTGTCTGCAGACCTAATCACCGGGATACCACCTGATGCCCCACGCAGTATAACCGATTATGCAAATGACTTGCGGAACAAAATGAATGTCATTTATGAGCACGTCAGACAATCGGGCCAGCAAGTGTCCGAAAAGATGAAAACCCGGTATGACCGCAAAATTAACAACAAAGGGTTGGACGAAGGTTCACTAGTGTGCTTGCACAATCCAGTCCGCAGCAAAGGGAAATCTCCTAAGCTTCAAGCTAAATGGGACGGCCCGTACCGGATTGTGACCAGGATCAACGACGTAACCTACCGGATACAGAAAGGCGCAAGAGGTACTCCTAAGATCGTCCATGTGGATCGACTGGCGCGTTACTATGGGGTCGATAATGCTCGAGACGAGCATGTCTTAGGAGGCTGCCCCTTCATGTTGCGCGCTATAATTAGCGCCTGGTATTTGGCGGCTGATTATTAGCGCCATCTGATATCAAGCAGCAGAAATAAGAGCGTCAAGCTCTTTCTAGAACTCTCCCACGAGCGCCATCTAGTATCGAATGGAAGAATTAAGCTTTCTAGAAAGCTCCTCAATTGAACTTTCTGCACCTGGTCGGCCGGGGGCCGGTATTTGCTGGACTATTCTGGATGTTTCGGTGGAAAAGGCCTATTTAAAGCCGTTGAGGGCAGCGACCAGAGCAGTATTGAATTGGCGATACGAACGAAGCTTTCGGAGCGAAATAAAGTGAACTAAAATTTTAAGTGTGATTAATTATTAGTGTGATTTAAGTTTTAATTGGTGTTCGGTAATAAAAGTGTAAATTTTGGTAATTCAATCGGTAGTTTTTATTCTTCTCACCAAACCGTTGTGTACTTTCTTTAATAAGTGCATAAAGGAGGGCATTTTCCCAGATCAACTAAAAATTGTCACAAAAAGGGCTCGATATCGGATGCCAAGATGTACAGGCCTATATCTTTATTATCCACAATTTCAAAAGTATTCGAACGTGTTTTTTTTAGTCTAGATTTTTGTTTGATTGACAAGATGAACCACCAAAGATGAGGACAATTTGGTTATCAAAACAACATCGGTACACAGGATGCAATAGACACACTGCTCAATGATTTCACTGACAAATTAAATATTAAATTTAAGGTAGCTGCACTCTTTCTCGATCTGAGCTCCGCGTTCGATACCATAAATCATGATCTTTTGGGAAAATTGTCATTATGGTTTGAGGAAAATCATTATTATGGTTTGAGGACAGGGTCTGAAAATATTCCAATCTTACTTGAACAGCAGAAAATTTTTCGTAGAAATAAAAAACGGTGAATGATAGTATGTCTGAAATTGTGACGAAGTCCAAAATGATTAACGTTAAAGTGGGTGTACCTCAAGGACCCGTATTATTTATTACTTCATTAATGATTTAAACCATTATGTACGTAGAACGACAGACTTGAAAAAGCTAGTACTCTTTGCAGATGACACTAACGCTGTTATCTCAGCCTCTGAAATAGCGAAATAAAAATGAACCAAATATTGAAATCCTTTAGAATATGGTGTACTGTCAACGGCTTTTCGATCAACACCAACAAACCAAACATGATGTTATTCCGCAATAACGACGGTAAAAACATCTCTGCATGTCACAGTAGGTGATAAAACTGTACAATACGTAGAAGTGGCTAATTTTTTAGGAGTGAGGATCGACAGTAAGCTAATGGGGAAACATGAATTAGATGAGATTGAAAGTAAAATAAGCTCAGCTTGTTACGTACTAAGAAGCTTACGGCATGAAGCGGATCTTAAACATTTAAAACTGGTTTATTACTCATTAGTATCGAATGGAACAGTGGTCTTCAAGACTACGTTACAGAATTTTATTCTGGGGAGGGAGCTGTAAATATAATGTTCACAAAGCCTTTGTTCTGCAAAAAAGAGCAATCAGAGCCATGGTCCGTATAAAACAACAAGAATCATGTCCACACATATCAAACGACTTGGAATCTTGACTGTTCCATGCCTGTATATACTGGTCTTACTTACACAATTTGCAAAAGTTATTGGCGAATATGAGACTATAGACTAAAAAACTATAAGGGAAAACACCAGGAGAAAAGACTTTAATAATAAAACCATCACTCGTATGGTCATGACTCTCTTCTCATTTTCAATCAATACTCCTATTTAATAGATTCCCTATTGCTTTAAAAATATGTTATATAAGAGTAGCTTCAAAAATAATTTTAAAAAGTTCCTACTGGAAGAATGTTATTATAGTGTTTACGAGTTTCTACATGCTAATGATATTACATAATATTCAATGTTTTGAAACTTGATGACATTTTAAGAAATAATCGTAATTTTTTTTGACAACATTTTTATTATTATTTTGTGATATTTAATACGTTGAACTTTATTTATAGTGATGAGATTTGACTTGTAATTTTTATTGAAATTTTTATATAATTGTAATTTTATATTTATTGCCATTTTATATAATTTAATTTTATACTAATTGTAATTTTATATTTTTTTTTGTAATTTTATATAATTGTAAATTTGGTTGTTAAGCTTTTCAATTGTAGTTTTGCACGAATTATTTACAACAATTTGTATTGTTCAGATTAAATGAATAAATAAAACCATGAGGTGGGCAGCGGCATCTTTGAAATGACAACTAAAAAGCCAAAAATAAGGTTGCCAACGTGCCCGCGTGTGACAACTATGGCAAATATGTCCCCTATGAATCAATCCATGGGGGAGGCCTTTGTTTATGGATATGGATAGACTGTTATGGTAACAGTAACCATGCTAAAAACCGCAGCATTATGTTGACACTTAACTTTGAAATCCTCTGAGAGCGTCGTCTTTCGGCTTAAAACCGTGCCTGTTCTTGGAGGTGATATCGGACCTGTAGACTTCTTTGTGGTAGCTGCAGGTATCTATGGTCCTCTGTGATCAATTGCTATCAGTTGAACCGCTTACATCTTAATCATCAATGTGTTATTGTTATTACAGGTTGACAGCAGTGTGTGTTGAAGAACGAATGGCTGAACTCAAAATGATGTTGCTCGTGCAAGGACCCGTCATACATGATAATAATCTACACCCGCACCCACCAGGTGAGTATATTATTAGTACTTCAGTGAGTTTATGTAGGTTAACGAAAGATATATGTTATCACCATCAGTTCTTAAACAGTCAAATGTTGGATATAGGCCTCTCCCACAGTTGGAATAATTTACTATAATCATCAGTTCCTACCGATATTCGAGTTGCAATTTTAATGCTTCCTCACATCACTGACTATGGTATTATAGATCTGGCACTGGCACATATAATATGGGAATTTAATTGTCTTTTTCATCACTAGCAACCTTTTTGTTCAACTCCTTTTGTCCATTTTTGAGACTAATCAGATAGGGTGACAAATTCAGAATCATAATAACAGTATATTTCTGCATTCTAAAAATAATTGAGGCTTCGTATATTAATTGCTATTTTTACTTCAATCGTCTGCATTGCCAACAGATGTGAACGCGCCGTCGCCGCCGGAAATAGACAAGAACTCTAATTGCACGGCAACTCAACAAAATGGCGATGTCAGTACTCCCCTACTTTACCCTCAGCCACATATCGGACGGAATGCGTGCATCGAACGTAACACGCACACAAACACACACACGCACACAGTCGAGCTTATACATAAGAGCCTTAAAGATATAAACACAAGTGAAGGGCCCAGAGTTCAAAATATAGAAGAGAATTGTTTGTCCGTAGCGAGAATAAGTCATAGCCGCCTTTTAGCTCAGGAAAACTCCGATAGATTCAATGAAATACGTTCATACCAGAGACCTTTGGAATATGTACCCAATGACGTCAGCTCTCATGATGTAGACAGAGGTCCCAAAGAAACAAATCTGTTACATGACATGAAAACCGAAAAGCCAAAATGGGGGATACGTAAGTTTTTCGAGAGAAAGCTCGGTAGAACACCAAAACCACTTGAAACGGAAGTAAAATTGATCGCCGAAGGCTCAGCTAACAGGTCATTGCAGAATGGAAGAACCAGGACGTCTCTAATCGACAAACCTTGTAACATAACCTTTGATAGACCAACCAATCTAGTTCTAAGTCAAGGTAGCTCATACAACTTTGAAGGACCATGTACCTTATCCCCACCTAATAGAACATTGTCACCGACTATGATGATGGAATCGGAAAACCGTTCCGATAAAGTGTTCAAAGAGTTGCCAACGAGAGACGAAAAAGATTGCAGAAATCAAATATTCGCAGTTATAGTCCCAAAAGCGAAGCCATCTGACTTCGCGAACCGAAGCAAGACGTCACGAGGCAGTTCTGAAAGTTTGAACAAACATTCGATTCATACTTCAATGTCTTCTCAGAGCAACTTTAAGGCTGGACAATCAGAATCTGAAGATTCTATGGCGAAGAAACGACTTAGTTGTGACAATAGAATAATTTCTAATTCCTCTAACAGTGGGAGATCTTCCAGAGCTAGTATAAACCTGGAACTTCAGTACATAGACACAAATGATATTGAACAACACGAGAGTCCCTTCGATATGAATTCTGACTGTTCGAGCAGCGAAGATGAACACCTAATGTTGCTATCTGAGAACGGAGGCTCAAAAATAACTATGCAAACCATTCCGAAACTGGAAAGTGACAAGAAACGCCTTCAAAATGAAGTGCTTAAGGAGGCAAGTCAAACGAAAAGTGATTTTGGCTTCAACAAATACAATAAGTATGCGAACTTCGACAACGAATTTAGTGATCCAAACGACAAGGAAAACGCTGTGAACGGATATAGCGGCGATAATCCCGTTTATCTGGCGGCTCTGAACGGAGAAATCGACACGAACGATTTGAAATTCTTAGCGCCTGCTCCCGACGAAGCCGAGCGTTGTCCAAAATCGCCTAAGCCACCTTTAAAATCTTTGTCGATAAAGAGACAGCATTCTTTGGAGCATGTCAGCGAAATATTTTCCTCTTCCGGTAGTGTTAACTTGCAAAACCCTGCTGGCCGGGTCAAAACACCAGGGGACTTACCAGTAGCAGTAAGAAGGGCTCGAAGGGATAGGGCTCTCCAAAAGGGCAGAGCGAGCGAAAGCAACAGATTGAGTCTTTATGACGACAGAATGATGTTCGGCAATAGCTTGTAATAATGATTTCCGTATATCTAAGTTTAAAATGTGATAATTATTTCTCGCTAATTTTCATTGGATTGCTAAAGTATGTTCTGTGATTGTATTATATTTAATTCATGAATTTCGACTTTGCTGCATGAAATCCAAGCTACATTGAACAAAGTATAAGCATCCAGCATTAAGGGATATTCAATAATCGTACTAAATATATATTTTAAGCATTCCAGTTTAATTGTAACTGCATTTTAAGTGTAATAACTTAATATTTATTCTTCAGGAAGAAATGAAACAAAGAAAGAAAAATATATTTCATCTGCCCTTACAAATCAGTATACATTTTAATATTTTGCACCACAATATACAATATAATAATTGCTGCATTGAGTAGTCCATATGTATATATATATATATATATATATATATATATATATATATATTCCAGTAAAGTAATATATCCAGTATTTAAAAAACGAAAGCGATGAATGAACTCATGTCATAATAAAAATTAATTTCTAATAGAAGAACGAATAAAAGTCCGTCAGCTAATTTGTTTTTCTAAAATAGGCTAGTTTCACATTTTCACAACCGAGAAATTTGTGTATGAGCAAAACTGGTAAAAAAAATATATTCACAAGAGCAGTGCCGCCATTGAAATTATATTTCAACTAAAATGTACAATTACAACTCCCAAAGCCAATGTAACAGTCATGAAGGTTAGAGAACAGGAGAAAGATCACTACGTACTAAAGCATAGCCCGCCTGTCCTTGAAAATTGTAGAATACATAGCGGCGCTGACGTCGGTGAGTAGTGACTGCGAAGTTAGCTGTTTATGAGTACAAGTTGATAAAGTTAGTTGACAATGTACAAATTTTCTATGCGGCGTTGGTGAGAAAATTTTCATGCTCCGTATTTTTGTAATTTTTAACAAAAAGAAACATTAAAAAAATGGAGAAATGTTTTATTGTGCATGGAGGATGTACAAGTGGTTTAGCATCTGATCGGAAAAATAGACGGAAAATGACTTTTATTGACTGAACCTCGAGCGATCGCAGCGCCTCACTTATGGTGTCCATATTTCTGGGACACTATTTTCTACGGCGATCGTTCTCCTGTTCTCTAACCTCCATGGTAACAGTGAACGCAAACAGAATTAAACTCGCAACATGGCTGATATTTCAAACAAACTCACAGATTGAAACTCCATCGCTGACTAAAATAAATAATAGTTTATTATATTTCATTACGACTGGGGACGCGCAGTCAATTTTATTTCCCGTCAGTTTTAGTTATGTAGGTTGCTTATAATATTTATATATGACACCATTGTGCTCCTTACTTGTCGCCTGGGACGTTTTATATAATAATCAGTATTATGACTGTGACGGTATTCGAACTATACTCATTCGTAATTGGTAAGCTACTGCCTACCGCAACTCAATGTGTGTTACTTCCATGTTTTATTTGCATTCACTTCAATTAGTATTTTTGTCTCACTAAGGCGGGCAAGGCTTACATGATGTGTTCAGCGTTATCAATCTCAGCACAAAATAATATAATTTATCTAAGTAAGGAATTTATACACATTTATATCACAGTTTCAACGATGATAAGTTCTCGTTGCTATTGTCATGTGAAAATTTTACAATCTAGCGATCATTTGACGACCCTAATTAGAAACACAATCATATGTTACAATCAAACTAACGCTTCTGCAAAAAGAATATAATCACTACGTTTACTTTGATCAGTGCGAATAACTTTACTCCATTTACTTTCTATTGTGAAGGTACTTGGTAATAATGTCTAACTTGACCTTACGCACACTAAAACAATGTGTATGTGCACTTAGATTAACACGTAAGACCAACCAGCCTTCGTGAGATGAATCACCTTCACCTATACAGGGTTATTTTACAATAACCGGTCAAATGAGTAGGTCAAGTAATATAAAGCAGTAGCAGGCAAAAGTTGAAGAAAAATTAATCAAAAGAAAATCTCAAACAATGTCCTTTTTATCTTTTAAATTCAAAATGCGTGTGTGTGTTATTTTAACTGATTTTACTGTGCGCGCACACATTCGTAAAGGTCGATCGGTAGACAAAAACGTTGTTGTCTATAAATCATATACAATTTGGGATAATTTTAAATAAAAAGTAAAGCCTTTTTTACTCGAATTTTCAAAAACTGCAATAACGTTATATCATTATTTATTTTTTTGAACTTGATTTTAAAATTTGGCTACTCTGAAAAATAACCCATTATATAATTCCCAATTAATAACCCATATTATAATTCATTTTTATCATTCATTCCCATTTAACATTATGAATGGTAACGAAATGAACAGTATAAATCGCTTCCCCAATAAAATAATAAGTTAAGGCTACGTTAATCAGTGCATTTTTAATAATACATTACAAATGAAAGTGGTAAACAGTTTATTCATTGGCATCGTTCCATAGAATGAAAGTGGTAAACAGTTCATTTATTGGCATCGTTCCATAGAATGAAAGTGGCTTGGTTAAACAGTTCATTCATTGGCATCGTTCCATAGAATGAATTCTTCTGAGTGGTAAACAGTTCATTCATTGGCATCGTCCCATAGAATGAAAGTGGTAAACAGTTCATTCATTGGCATTGTTCCATAGAATGAAAGTGGTAAACAGTTCATTCATTGGCATCGTTCCATACCAAACGAAAATTAATTAGTTTAATAAAAAAGACTATCAGTAACTGAACCCAGATTGCTTTTCTTTATTTATTTTCAAGTAATTTAAGATTACTCTTTGATCAATATTGCGTTGGGCTGTGGTGTCTTTATCTAAATTTATGAGATAAACAATGGAATGAAATCGATACGAGTGTGCGTAAATACATGTATGTACCTTTACTTTAACACAGTCACTTGGTGTTTTAGTCTTTTTTGCGAAATTATTGTGGGTATTTCATAGACTTTTTGTAATGCTGTCTATGGCTCATTAAATATTTAAGTCAGCCACCAAAGTGATTTCACATATTTTGTTAGAAATCATGAAACAATTCATTAATATTTATTTTTATAATATTTATTACCTTATTAGTTATATTTTCACTTCACAAGTTGTGTTAATGTATTATGTTTTTTCTCTGTCTAATATGACTATGTATTTATGTATTTGGTCTACAGGATTTAGTTAAATAATAACGGATCGACGAACTGCTTTCAATATAATCATTGTTATAAATTAAATCGCAGAATGTTTTGATCAGTGTGTCATTTATATTGCATTTATTGTAGTTAGTCACAAGCTTTATAATATAGTTATAAAGTAGGGAATTAAAAATGAAAATTTAGTACACAAGTGTTACCTCACGTAAAATTATTGTAAGAAACAATAGTTGTGTTAACTAGTATTTTTAGTTTATGTTCTAAACACTACATTTAATTACGGAAAATCCGCTAGCTGAAGAAGCAGAAATGTTTGTAATTAGTAAGATAGGAAGTACGTAACAATAGATTTATTAAGCATATAATATTATTACAGTTATTGTTTTTAAGTTTTGGTACATTTTGATTTTGTTACGATTTTTATTAACACGTTTTTTTTGCAAGTACAAAAACTTGTATATTAATTTTATTGGTAATTTAAGATATTAAAATTGTGATCTTATTTTGTATATAGCTAAGTTCCTAACAAGCCATCTTAGTTTTTACTTTATTGTTAAGTTTACGTTTAATGCAACAATGTTTCAGTTCATGAAATATCCGTATACCTTTATTGACGAATTGATTTTTGTTTGTGCTTAGTTTATTTTCGATTAAGAATTAAATGGAAATGAGTAAAACTAAAAAGCGTTGTTTTTAATTTTAATTTTAAATGAAATTAAAATCTAGTCTTGCCTTAAGACATAACAATTAACGACACGTCTACTCTTGAAGAGGCCTACCCCATAGTTGCCTTATAAGATTCGTTTTTATACGTGGTAGAGTCATGCTGCAGTTATATTAATCGTATAGTTGTAGCACGAATGGGTTCGGCTTGACCAGGGAAGGACCACGCTCTCACAGAATACCAGCGTGAAATAGTAGCTTAATGCTGCTGTTTTGTATGGTGAGTGTACAGAACCGGAGACTATTTTTACTGGAAACGCATTCCATTTTAGTCCTCACGGTTGACAACGCATCTGCATTTTGATTTATAATCGAGGATAGATGTAGATGTCTATGGGCCCCAGCAACCAGTTACCGTCAGGTGGACTGTGTGCTCGTTTGTCACCCTTTCCTATAAAAAAATGGGATAGTTGTCATTCTTGCAGGTGGATTGTCGTTTTTTTTTTTCACATGTTATCAGGAACCTCTTACAACACCAACGGGATGTTATGAAATAGTGGATTCTTTTACGCTGCCACTACACGAAAATATTAACAACCCTCGGTAAAATTTTAGAAAAATTGTAAATGTTAAAACTTGAAGCGTGTGACAGTTTTTAAAAATGTATTATATTACAAAGCAAAGGGGACTGGTATGGATGATGCGGGCCTCTCGATTCCTTGCTTTTTAGATCTTTTATTGCCATTAATCGAACCAAGAACATCTAGCTAAATATTCCGAAACTGTCTAAAATTCGGCGGTTTCTTTGTTGTAACATCTTTGCTATGCAATTTTTTTAAAGAAAAAAGTAACTAATACCACTTCCGATACAGTGACGTCCAAGATAGCTATCCAGTAGATACCTAGCTACACTGGACGACTCGTGAAACAGAAAATTCAGCTCTGAAAAGAGCTATTATATTATCAGTATGAAGCATGATATTGTTCTTTAAGAACGTATTTTACTAATCTATTAACACGCGCAGCAGAAATGCAGATCTGTTCGACGCGAGCGCTCAGAAGAAATGGGACACCTCGCTTTTTTTTTAAAGTGTGTGCTGTTGACCCTGCGGCCTTTACAGCTAAAATAGACCCGTAAGCGAGGACCTACGAGCTATCGAGTGCAACGATTCTGCCAACGGCGAGGCGGCGCGATGCGCAGTG